AAAGTAGGCGTTGCCCAGCTTCCCGACGTACAGCGTATCCTGCCACCCGTACAGCCCGCACGAGTAGAACCCGGCGTTGGCCCTGCTCACGCCCACGGCGTGCGCGGGGCCGTTGGAGTACGGGTACTCGTCGTTGCGGAAGTCGATGTTGTAGGCGCGGAAGTCGGCGCACCCGAAGGGGGTGTCGGCGGGCACGGGGAAGCCCGTGGGTCCGGAGCCGGTGAGGGTGGCGTTGAGCGTGGGGCCGACGGAGAGGACGCTGGTGTAGGCGTTGTCCGGGAAGCGGACGTTGTGGTTCGTGGCGTTGAAGAGGACTTGGACCTCGTTCTGGGCGTTACCGGCCGTGGCGTTGCCCGAGGCGGAGTAGGAGGTTCCCGTGCTGGGGCTGTCGGTCATGCCCAGCAGGGTGAGGGGGCCGGGGCGGGTCACGTTGAGCTGTTCTACGTAGATGCCCGGGGCGATGAGGATTGTGTGGGCTGTTGTGTCGTGGGGGAGGGAGGCGATGGCGTCTTGGATGGTTGTGAAGTTTGCGTGCTTGGAGGTCTTTGAGACGAAGAGGGTGTCTGGGGGGCAGCCCTCGAAGGGGTTGTTGCAGGTCTTCTTTTGGCATGCTGCGTAGGTCTTTGCCGGGCCTGAGGGGATCGCGGCGGTGGCCAGGGAGACGAGAGCCCCGGAGAGGAGGATGGATGCCTTCATCTTGGGAGCCTGTTTCCTGGTTCTCTCACTTACAAAGTTACTCGTAAAGAGAGAGGAAGAGGAAGAAGCTAGAGGAAGGGGGAAGAGAGGAGACTCGGCCGAGCTCAAAGGTATATACAAAAAAAAGAGTGTGGTGGTTGAGTTGGTATTCTTCTGAACAAGCTGAACAAAGCGACCCGATGATCTGGATGGGGTTTGCTATATATCCTTCCCGCCCGTCCCATTGCTACCTACCCTTGACTACCTTGGCCAGTGCTACTCTGCCAGCCTAAGCTTTCCCTTGCCCATATTACCCGATGCTTGTCACAATCTCCTCGACAGCTCGCGAGTTGGGGGCGGGAGCAGGTTTTCCGGGTATCCTCCCCTGTTCCGGGTTCAAGTCTCGCCGTAATAAAATCGAACGGCTGTCAATGACTTACACACTTACAAAGAGCAAGGCACACACGCATACAAAGCTCAAGCGCGCGTATTGTGGGCGGAGACAGATGTGGCACTTGCAGTGGCAGCGCCAAAGTATACCATATTGGCTGGCCCCTCAGGAGAAAAGCGAAAATCTCGCAAAACTCGCCTCCATCGACTTCCAACAGTACGAAGTACATCAGCTCAGCTTACGACTCTCCCTCTCCCTCTTTCTTTCTTTCTTTCTTTCTGTTTCTCTCTCTCTTCCCCCGGGTTGGACGCGCGGGGTAAAAGACGGAGTTATTACCCCGGAAATCCCATCGCCGGCAGACGTGTCCAAGGAGTATTTGCGTCCCATGGGGAAGAAGAAGCGCGGCAATGGGACGAACATGATGAGCACATGGGAGTGCCGTGGGCGACCGGGTCAAAAGTTGGGGAAAATGAGGAGGTCGAATCCCCAACTTTTGGGGCTCTGCAGGGCTTCTGCAGACGTGCAGGTGGAAGAACTGCAGCTGGCGGATTCCACGAACCACAGCTTACAGGGCCTCGCAGGGCACTCGCACTAGCCGCAAGCCACGAGATTTAGTGTCGCTAAGTGTCAACGGCGGCTGTCGATGACGCGGGGAAATGGCAACTTGACAACCGGCGATAGTCTCTGTACACTACTCCGTACGGAGTAAGGTATAGAGAGATATCAAGGGGGCCGGAAATCTGCAAAGATCAAGCAAAACCAAGCAAAACCAAGCAAAACCAAGCCTTCGGAAACGCGGCATGGGCGTAAGCCAACCGGCTTGGCCTGCGAGCTCCCCCACACTGGGTACGTGGGGTAACCCTGGCAAGTCCACCTCGGTAGCCCTGGAAAGCCCAGTCAACGTCCGCTGCAGCGACTGCACGCCTTCAGGGGCACCAATCAGTGAGAGTTCGCAAGAGGTGCCCCTCTGTTGGCCCTTAATTAGCGCTAGCCCGCACTGTAATTGATAGCTTGGAATTGCCCAATAAGCACTCGGGAAACCTTGTCATTGGTCCACTCTTTTTTCTTTTCCGTCGCCTTTTTCTGCCCGTCTCCAATTCCCGTTCCTCTCATTCTCACTCTCATACTGACTCTCACTCTTACTTTCACTTTCACTCTCTTTGAGTCTTACACGTGTAAGTTCTCTCAGCCTCCATCTCCTTCAAAAGAAACATCATCTCCCCTGACGGGCTCGCCCGGGACTCCATGTCCAAAGGCTCCCAAAACACCAGCATGATATTCATCTCCTGCCAGATTTCCTCCTGCTAAGCTTTTCTCGGAAACGGCGGAGATCACCGCAGGCTGCCGCTCACCAGCATGTTCCCAGTTTCGCCATATAAAACACAAAAGCTTGATTTTGTTGGCCGTTTTCTCTCTTCCTTCGTACCCAGATGATCAGATGAATAGACGTCCGCCTTTTCCCTTCGTGGTTTAGCTCCATGTATCCGTTCACTTTCCGTCCATCGAAGGTCTGCGAGTACCTAATGACGGCGAAGCTTTGCCGTCTCGTCCGTCCATCTCATCCCCATGTTGCCCTTACCGTTCTTCCCTGAAGACTCAAACCCCTTCATATGGACGGAAAAATTGCAACCCATAGTCCCATGCCATGTGCTCTTTCTCCAATCTTGCCCTTGCTACTAGCTAGACCCCTTCCCTTAGTGCCCCTGCTTCACCTACAGTAGTCACCCCTAATCGAGCTATCGCCGTGTCATTCATGGTGGATATCCTTCCAACGCCGAGAAGCTTGCCCCCCCCCTGCTCCGCATCGGCGCATATCCCCTTCCCGAACTTCAAAGGGCTCCAACACTCACTCTCACCGCGGAAGATCTGATATAAATCCTTTCCCCAGCCCTTTCGCAGCGTAGCAGTCTCAAAACGGCTTTGTACAGCTTCTCCAATTGCTTGGCAAACTACCCCCCAATCGTCCTTGGCATCAGAACAATCCTGACCGCCGTTACATTCCTTTGACTTGTTCATTCTTTTTCTTTTGCCCATCCAATTACTGTTCACCATGGTCGCTCCAACCCTGCTCGGCGGTCTCCTCGCCGCCGCCCTGGTGCCCTTCACCCACGCCGCCGCCGGTGGCCGCCCAGACATCAAGGCCGCCCCCTTCCACCCGGGCCGCGCCTTCCCCGCCTCCGCCCCGAGGACAAAGACCTGCGCCGTCAAAGCCGGTACAAACGGCAGCGACGACTCGGCCGCCATCCTCCAGGCCTTCCACAGCTGCAACAACGGCGGCACCGTCGTCCTCGACAAGACGTACACCATCTGCAACCCGCTCGACCTCACGTTCCTCAACGCCGTCGACGTCGCCCTCACCGGCACCGTCAACTTTTGCGACGACATTGACCACTGGCTGCCCCGCACCTTCAAGTACACCTTCCAGATCTCTTCCTCCATGTGGAAGTTTGGCGGCAAGGATGTCAACATTTACGGCAACGGCGTCGGCACGCTCAACGGTAACGGCCAGAAGTGGTGGGACCGGTTCGCGTCGAATGCCACGCTCGAGAGACCTATTCTCTTCGTCACTGATGGTCTTCACGGCGGCTCGATCACCGGCTTGAAGATGGTCAACTCCCCTCAGGTAAGATTCACTCACCCGCTCACTCATTTACTCTCACCCACCTCTCATGAAATCTCATCCACCTCACATTGAATCTTAAGAACACCCACTAACAAAACCTCCAAACAGTGGTTCAACCTTATCGCAAACAGCACCGACGTCCTCATCTCCGACATCAACATCAAGGTCGGCTCCACCTCCTCCAACCCGGCCAAGAACACCGACGGCTGGGACACCTACCGCTCCGACGGCATCGTCATCCAAAACTCCGTCATCAACAACGGCGACGACTGCGTCTCCTTCAAGCCCAACTCGACAAACATTGTCGTCCAGAACCTCGTCTGCAACGGCTCCCACGGCATCTCCGTCGGCTCCCTCGGCCAGTACATTGGCACGTTCGACGTCGTCGAGAACCTCTACGTCTACAACACGAGCATGTCCAACGCCTCCGACGGCGCCCGCATCAAGGTCTGGCCCGGCATGGACACCCCCTTCCAGCCCAACCTCTCTGGCGGCGGCGGCTCTGGATACGTCAAGAACGTCACCTACGATACCTTCCACAACGACAATAACGACAATGCTATTACGATTGATCAGTGCTATGGTCAGAAGAACCAGACCATCTGCAACCAGTACCCTGTAAGTTTCTCCCGGCAGGTTTTGATGTAACGAGAAATAAGAAACTGGTGTACTAACACCAGCCGTGCTAGTCCAACATGACCATTAGCGACATCTACTTCAAGAACTTTGACGGCACCGCCTCCTCCAAGAACGACCCCCGCGTCGGATCCCTCGTCTGCAGCAGCCCCTCTGTAAGTTTCTCTCTCTTCTGATTCTCTTGCCCAAAAAGTTCATGGCACTAACACTCCGGGACCAGAAATGCGTCAACATCAACGCCTCCAAGATCAACGTCAAGGCCCCGAGCGGCAAGAACCCCCAGTGGCTCTGCGTCAACCTCGACACTGGTCTTCTCGACATTAACTGTGTCACCAAGGTCACCAAGAGCTAGAAAGAAAGTTCTTGGCCTCGTTTAATCTTATTCTGTATATTTGAATTTGTCACTTTTTCTTGTATTTAAAAGGGAAACTTTCCCCGGGTACTTTTATGTAAACACCCACAGGCACAAAATTTCCTAGAAGGGGAAATGGTGGATCTTACACATATATCATACCTTCGTCTCTTTGATGCCTATAGACTTTGTGAAGGGTCAGAAATCGACTGATCGCTCAAGGGAGGTTCAACCTTATTAAAGACACAATCCTTCCCATAAATTGCCATTTCGTCAGTCGAGCCTAAGAATCCCACTGAAGGGCCGAAAATGTTCGTAAACCTTCACGCTTGAGTCGGCAAACTGTCTGAAGGTTTATCAAACCTCCACACGGCCATATCCCTCATCTCGGCAAATCGCCACACCTTGATACATTCCTTTTCGACGGCGACGAGCCTACCGCCGCATTTTTCACAGACTTTCATGCTGCCCACGTTCTCCAGGTCAACCTGCGCAATGAGGTGCGTGATCTCGACCTGGTCCTCTCTGTCGACGTCGCTCTCTGCGTCTCTGGTAGCTCCATTACCTTTCGCCAGCAACCTCGTATCTAGATCTCCAGTAGGGACACTTGGACCATCATCTCCTTGTCTCGTCTGACCTCCTGCTGACGCCTGCACCTCGGGGAGAACAACCACCTCACTCCTCGGCGCCAACCGCCTCCGGCTCCAGTACATCTCCAGAAACGCCGTGATCGCGCGTGTGGCGTACCCTTTGCCCCAGCAGTCGGACCGTAGTTTGTATCCGATCGAGAGACCCCAAGCTGATACCGTCGTCGTCCTGATACTTCCGATCATCTTGGTCTCTCTGGTGATGTCGGTGGCAGCAGCCCCGTTGTTGCTGCCGTTCGCCGGTAGTGGAGGAAGGGACGCATAGTCAGAGACCATGATGGCACAGCTTAGGTGCCAGGGTTTAGTCTCTGGTTTGTTGACTACCATGCGCTCTTTGGAGGCTTCGAGGGTGGTTGTGTGTAGGCGGAGGCTTAGTGGGCATGAAACTTGTCAGCGTTCTCTCTCTCGTGTGTGTGAGTGATACCTAAGGGATGACAAGTAGAATTTAGGAATAGTGACATTACCTCCAGAGATTCGCTTTCTCGTCGGAACATAGTTCGTGGAAGCCGTGAAGGTGTTTGTGGAGGTCCATGGGCTCTAGCCATAAGTTCGGTTTAGGTGCTTGTGAGGCCATCGTGGGAATTCAACTAGTCCTAAACAACAGCGTAAATGATCAATTTATATAGGTATCGGACAACCAAGACGTGGCAGTCGAAGAAGACAAGATCATTGGTTTCAACGGTGCAATTTTAATATTTTGTGAGTTATCCTTGATAATGGGGCGGCTTGGTTGAGAGATCGCCCGTTCCAGTGAGTCACTCTATCCTGGCTAACTCCGTGGATGGTGTAAGACTGAGCTCATCCGAGGACTTCCGTAGGAGCGCCTGGCCCCTGGCTTTAAATTTTCCAGAAATATTTTGACTGAGGAGAAAGTTGTAGTTCAGAAATGTGCTTTCTCATCATGGGTGCTAATTGTCGCTACAATCGTTGCTTATTTGTACGGTTGCTGGGAAATGGGAAGTGAGATGTTACTGAATGGTTCGTTTGGGGCACATGCTTCAGATGCCACGAAATCATTGCGACAGAAGTTGAGCTTCTTCATATGCGTACGAACTTGGGAATCAGAAAGATGATTTTCCAGAACTTATCCTACTCAAGAATGTCTTCCCAGCTTGGGCCATTGAGATGACAGAAAGCTTGAATACCTCAAGGCACCCTGATGAGTAACTGAAGAGGTAGGAGTGAACGTCGCTGCTGCAGACCCCACATCGTGCGCCCCTCATTTTCGTCTGCCCACCCCAGGGGCATCTGCAGAGCTTCTCCGATAAGATAAGACATTTTTCGAACCTCCAAACTTTCCAAGCTCCAAGAGAGAGTCACCTTGACGCGACGACGCAACAACCACATCCTCACGCCATTGCACACGCACCATGTCCAGCAATGTCGGCAGCAGGTCCTAACTCGAAACCCCTAAAGTCCGCCTTCGCCAACAAACGAAAACAAGGATCCTCGGGCGACAATGGCGGAGGGAACAACGGCGCAGGCGGCGGCGGCGGCGGAGGAGGAGGATGGGCGCAAAAGCGCGTCAAGATCCGCCAGGACCGCGAAATCGCAGCGCAGTCCTCGGACGCCGCCCTCCGCGACGGCGAGCTCGACCTCCAGTCCTTCCTGAACGCGCGCGAGTTCGAGATCCGGGCGCTCGAGGAGAGCATGCGACACACCAAAGCCGAGGCCACGAGCCGGGCGTTCCAACAGGTGCCCCGCGGGCTGAGGCGGCGGACGGCGAGCCACAACGCGAAGAGGGTGCCCAAGAGGCTGCGCAGGCGGGCGCTGAAGGAGATGGCGGAGGATAACACCCCCGTGGTGCTCTCGAAGCGCAGGAAGCCCAAGACGACGAGGGCGCGGATCCGGGCGGAGACGGCAAAGAGGTTGGGGATGCTTGCGGAGAAGAAGAGGAGGAGGGCGATGAAGGCGGAGAAGGCCAAGGCGAAAGACAAGGACGGCGAGGGGGATACGGACAAGACGGGCGACGACGGACCGGGCAAAGGCGCAGTCACAGTCACGACACGGCCGCCGCGGCCCAAGATCCGCCGGAACCAGCTCAACGACCCGCCGCAGCGCAAGTCCAAGTTCAGGAAACGGCAGATCAACAAGACGTGGCTGCCGACGCACCTGTGGCATGCCAAGCGGGCGCGCATGACGGAGCCCGCGAACCCTCTCTGGCGGTTCGCGATACCCCTGACCCCCAACGAGAAGACGTACCGGGCGACGCACCGATCGCACGGCGGCAAGGGTACCGTCGTATGGGACACGAGCTATGTTAGCACGATTGGGCTCTACGGGTCGGCCAAGGGCGTGGAGCAGGTCCTGCGCCGGCTCGGCGTCGCGCAGGAGAGTTGTTGGAATGAGAGGGGAAGGAAGTGGAGGGAGGGCACGCGGCACTGGAGCGGGTTCTTGAGCAGGGAGGTGAAGGGAGGAAGCAGCGGGGTGAGGCGGGAGGTTTGCCCGGCGACGATTCTCTGGAACCCCCTTGAGCCGGTTGCTGAGGATGGGGGTCAGTCGCAGACGGCCAAGGTCCAGCGACAGGTCTTTGTGAGGGTGCACCCCTCCGCGTTCCTTGAGGTGTTCAACGAGCTCCTTCGGCTCGTGAAGATGCAGAATCCCAGGATGTACATTGAGGATCTGCGCTTCGAGATTGGCAGCATCGAGCTCACCGGCCCCGCTTCGACTGAGGCCCTCCTGGGCATCCTGCACCCATACCATACGCAAGAAGGGTCCAGAGAACAGCACGCAGACATCTTTAAGAGCCTGAACAGCCTCATGAGTCCCGCGTCGCTTCCCCTCAACGCCACGCTGGGTTTCTCCATCATGGACCCGCGCCTACGATACCCCCCGAGGAAAGTCGCGCAGCCCGACCCCGACGACGAAGAAGAGCAAAACAAGTCTCTCGACCTACTCGCAAACTGGCCGGCAGACACCAATCTGAAACCCTATGGCCTCTTCCACAGAGACGCGCGGGCTTCGGCCACGAGACTCCCCTCGCAAAAGTCCATCGACAGGCGCAAGGGGGCAAGACGTCCCGGCACAGACCTAGGCGTCTCGGACGCCGATCCACCGATTCCCATCATACTAGTGGCATCACGCGCGGCCGGAAACAGTAGCAACGGCAATAGCAGCTCCCAGGGGAACTGGACGGTCCTCGCGCCCTGGCGTTGCATCCAGCCTCTATGGCATAGCCTGGTCCACTTTCCCCTCAGCTCGGGCGGCAACCCGCGCTTCTCCGGGCTGGATCAGATCCGGCAGGTCGCTTTCGAGCGGGCTACGCCGTGTTTCCCGTTTGATTTCCTCGGCACCGACGCCGGCGCCGCGTGGGAGGTGGAACAGCGGCGCCTGCGCAAGGCGAGTTGGGAGCGGCGGCCTAAGAGTAAGCGGGTCGCGTGGGCTTCGTTGGATCTGGGTGCCGGGCGGAAGGGGGAGGTTGGCTGTGGGTGGGCGTGCGATGTGGAGTTTTTGTTCTGGGAGGAGACAACGACAGACAAGAAGGAGAAGAGGTCTGCTGCGCTGGATGCGGATGAGATGGATGTTGACAAGCCTTCTCCAGTAAAGGAGGAGGCATCCGCTGCCGCAGGTGATGCCGCGTCCGAGGGGGAGTTCCTCAAGACGCTCCAACATATCCGCAAGGACGCCTTCAAGGCACACACATCTTCGCCATCACCAGCAACACCACCCCCCTTACCGCCGCGATCCGTCATCAACGTAAAGATCTCAATCCTCAACCGCGGCGTCGCTACCGCCTGCGCAAGAATCTACCGCCTCCCCCCGCGCCCCGCGCCCACCGCCCCGACCTCCTCCGCCGAAATCCCCGCCACAGTACCACCACCCCCGGCGCCGACGACATCCGTCCAAGGCAGTGACAGCAGCAGCAGCAGCAGTGGTCTGCCAACCAACCTCCGCGTCCAATGGCTCGCCACCCTCCCCGTCTCCAGCGCGAGCGCGAAACACTCAACCAAGAAGAACGGAAAAGCAACACACCAACAACACCAGCAAACCAAGCATTTACCCCTCGAAACTCAAAAACAAATCCTCGCCCAGAAACTCCTCGCCTCGCCACTTGCCGAGGCGTCATCACTGCTACCCGCGAAACCGAACCAGACGGATATGAACGGGCACCACCCGCTCGTACCCGACGAAGAAGATTTGATCGGTTTCGTGACGACGGGGTCGTATTGTCTCGCTGAGGGGCGGGGGACGGCGATTGGGTGTTTATCTGCCGAGAAGGCTGCTGAGGCGGTGAGGGATGGTGGTGGTGGTAGGGAGGGGACGTTGTGTATTGTGCGGAATGCCGGGGAGAGCGTTGGCTGGATTGCGCGGTGGGAGGTTGTTTGAAAGTTGAGAGGGTGGTTTGCATCTACGCACATACACACACACGCTGAACTGCTGTGAATGGGGTGTGGGTTTTGTTGTAGATGTGTGAGGTCTGGCTACTTCAGTCCGGGAAGGCCAGGAAAGGAGACGTTGGCCTTATGAGGAAGCGTTGGTATCAGGAAAGCTGATCACTAGATTTTAAAATAGGCAGACCGTCCTCGGGATAGGGGGTTAAAAGAAAAGTTACCCGATACACGGGAATAATACCTGTTTTGAGAGCCAAACAACTACATTTCCACAACCCCCTCTCTGTTTTAAGTCTTAGTCTGCCTCAGGACATACCATCTGCTATTTGAAAATGATCACTCTGGTTGGGGATCCCAAGTGAGACTGAAGCATGTTCAAAGCACTCACCAGATCCCCGCCCAAAGTGGGTGATGAAATAAGATGTTGGTCAACACTAGACTACGATGCTCACTTGCTTGCTGATCATCCCTAACTTTCTAATTCTTTTCGTCTTTTTATTTTCAGTTTCTACTACCTCGATTATTTCTACTATCCCTATTATATCTACTATCTTTACTCTCTCTATATTCATTAGGATATTCTCTTGAGACGAATAACGAGGAATAAGAAGAAGAAAAATAATAAAAGAGCTAGGTACTGGGATACCCATAGAGCGGCAAAGGATTATGCTGCCCACTTGCCCCCGTACCAACACCCCTTTCGACGCAAATGAGGAATCAGACATCTTTGCACATCGTTATCGTCACAGCACACACACACACACACACACACACACACACACACACAGAGAGAGAAAGACAAAACGTGACGTGGGTTGAACACTCGACTGTTTTAGCGAGGTTTATTCTGTTCTTGAGTAGATACTGTAACTGTCTAGCCCCTGGGCTGGGACGAAAGAACAACAATAATATGCACCCGGCTGTGAGATATCTGCCTGTATTGGGCTCTCCCGTAATGACGGTGCAAAAGAAGGCCGCCTTGATATGTGAAGCAAAAAAAATAAAGCCAACAAAATGACAAAAACTCCTTTTTGGTTCCTGCTGTTAAAAAAACGCCGTCATTATATCACCTGCCGCTCTCTATGAGGGTGATTTTCTTTCCAAATACGCGCGATAAGACCTCTCTTCTTCCAATGACTTGCCCATGAACATTGACTCTCCCTTCGCACCTTATCAAGGCGAGGAGTTTGGCAAACGGATGCCTCCCAACAAAAAAAGAAGAAAGTACCACCAGGACGGCGGCGCCTTTAATCTTCCTCGCTGACCTCACTCTCCTCAGCGTCGCCGCTATTCGCAGCCTCAAGCTCCTTCTCCAGCTCCGCCTCCAAATCGTCTTCTAACGCGTCCTCAAAGTCGGGCTCTGAGTCAACCTCCATCTGCTCCACCTCACCCTCGGCATCCTCATCTTGGTCGTGATGGTGTTGCTGTTGCCGCTGCTGGCCGTTCATCGGGCTCGGCAGGTTAAAGTTTGCGAAGTCGCGCTCTTCCAGGTCCGACTCGCCGTCGGCATCGTCGGCCTCGGAGTCGCGCAAAAAGTCGGAGAAGCTGCGGACCTGGATGTTGGGCGCAAAGGCGGGCGAGAAGTCGGCCCTCTTGTTCTTCTGCTCGTCGGGGTATTCTATCGTCAGGCCAAAATCGTCGTCATCGTCGTCGTCCTCCTCGTCCGAGCCCGCGGGCGCCTTGGCCTTCTTCTTGGCTGGTGATGCGGCCTTGGGCGCCGGTGGCGGCGCGTCGTTTGTCGGTAGGGCGAGGGTGATGTTCTTGGGCGGCGGCGGTGGACGGGCTTTCTTGTTGCTGCTGGCCGAGGGCCGCTTGGGACCGGTGGCCTTGGAGGCTGGCTTCGCGGGAGATTTGTCCTTGTCCTTGCTTTCGGCGGCGGCGGGTTTGCGAACCTCGGGGGTGGCGGTTATGGATGTGTCGAGCTGCTCGAATTGCTGGCGCAAGGTCTCGGGGTTGTCGTTGGTCGGGGTGCGGGTGACGTTCATGTGGAAGGTGGAATCGACCTTGTCGAGGATGAAGGCTTTCCTGTTTGGATCGAAGTAGAGGACGTATTGGTTATCGTCCATGGTACGAGTACCGGCGTAGCCGTACATGCCATTGTTGCCGTCGGGAAAGGAGAGGTCGAAGCTGGTCTTGCTGCCAGGAGTCTCGGGTTTTAATCTGGCAGTCGCTGGTTCGGAGGCTAGTTCTGGCTTGTGATTGTCTGCAGTGAGATCGCGAAGGCGAAGGTGTCAGTCTCGGCACCGGCATCGTGGTTCATTAATGTAGTCTGGTGCCAAAGTTACATACATCGTACAGAGGTAAAGACCTCTTTCTGGGTGCGCCCGAGAAGAGTGTCGCTCAGGATGACGGGGTATTTCCCCGTCTTTGTCGGGTCGATGAGGCCATTCAGGTTCTTGGGAAGGGCCTTTTCCCTGTGATTCGGGCGAAGAGCCGACATTGTGGCGCCTGTCGCGAAGAGGGCAGTGATGAGAGTGAGGCGAGGGAAGAGAAGTGGAGGGAGGGAAGACGGTACTGTGACTGCGTAGACCGATGATCGTTGAAGGGAAGTGGGGAGAGGGGACCTCGTAAGGTAGACTGTAGGTAGGGAGGAGACGGGATGATTAGAGGCGGGAACTGGGGCCGGTCCCTCTGCAGATTGCAGTGAGGTGTGCAGTTGAAGCGCTGCTTCCTTCCGCTGCCGCGACGGTTCCGCTAATTACGAGTCGCCTGCAACTTTAGGATTGTTCCGTGGAGGGTGCGCTGATGTTCCAGCTCTTCAGGCGGAAAGGCCGAGACCGCAGGTGGGTTGCACTGCTAAAAATGCACGTTGACCAGGGTGGTGGATGCAGGGCAGAAGCCTGGGGACGAATGATTAATGACAACCTAATGGAAGTATGAATTGGCGACAAGAAGGTGATGGACGCGCTGATGGGATTTGAGGTGGAAATCTGGTTCGTCGAAAGAGAAATATTCCTGCCGACCGATGTTTGTGTAAGACTTGTGAAGCAAACCAGCAACTCGGGAGGCTCTACCTAGGTACCTATTCGCTTCACCTACTTGCCTTACCTAAGATAAGGTGGTCTGAGGCTAAGTGAGAGGTCGGATGTGAACTACACTCCAGGATCTGGTCGTTTGATTCAGCTCCATTGCCTCCGCTCAATTTCCAGATGCTTTCACGTCGCCGTCGGTGAATGGAGTCTGTTAGGCAGGATAAGCCTGGGGCTGACGCTTGGACGCCTGAATCAGTGGTGGCGACAGGTAACACTGGGTGAGGTCTTACAACAGGAGGATTGTTGTTCAAACACAACTCACATTGAGATCAGGCTGCCGTCAACAGTTTGGAATGCCGTTTGGCACTTGACAGGATAGGTCCCTTCATGTGCGGCTGTGCTACTGGTTTGTAAATATCCAAGAATAGTCTTCTGGGTGAGCAAACCTCGGAAGTCGTTGACGAAAGCCAATTTTCAGTCGGACGGGCCAAATGAAAGTTGGCTTACTCACCTGCCCGGTGAACGACAGTGCTCAGATGTCAACCAAGGCCCATGTCCAAGAGCGTGCTGTGATAGGTACGATCTCAGTGAGGCCATCGCGGACTGTCAAGTAGGAAGAATGTAACCGTTTTATTAAAAGGTATATACTCAAATTTGAACACCAATCCCTAAAGCAAGTGCTTATCAATACGTCTTGAAGCCGTGTTCCAATATAAAAAGGAGACAAACTGAGGTTTTTCGTCAAGGCTAGCACGAAGCATAGTTGTTCTTAATGCGCACCTAATCACAAATGCACTTCCTCAGCATTGCAATATTTCCGGCTACACAAGTCACCCAGGATGTCTTATGGTACAATCACTGCGTAGCTGCCAGTGCCAGACTGCAAGATAAAGAGGGACTGTGGTAAGGTAGCTACAAAAGGTACCTTACGGAGTACCTTAAGGTATGGGAAAGAGCGATTTCTCAACTTTCCCCGTTATCCGCGGGAGCCCCAGATTTTGCGATAAGATTGAGTTCGCTCTTATCTAGAACCCGCCACTAGCCGAGGAGACATCCGGGTTTTGCACGGCTCGGTCGACATGCCCCTCCGCGTGCATCTTACTGGGGCATTGGCGCTCCTCTGCCATTTCACTTGGCATCACTGAGATTGTCGTGGTTGCCCAGAATGCCGTGCAACTCTTGAAGGCATTCGGTTGGTCAATTGGCCGAAGGCGAATTGATCATTCATGATCAGGTTGTGCTGATTCCAAGTCAACTCGTAGAACAGCGGCGGGGAAATCACAGGTGCTGGCCGGGGTTCTCCATATTCCTCTCCCAAAGGCCCCAACCTCGTCCAGGTTCATGTCAAAGCTCCCCCATTCCCCCGCCCGCTGCCCCAGGCTAGAGAGGAGCAATTCAGGCCCTGTGGGCTGTGGCTCTCGAATGCCATCATGGCCCGCCAGGGGTAAGCGCAGACAACCTCGGATCAAACAGCCACACAAGCTTCGGCAACGAGCGGCACCCTACCATCCTTACCCTGCCTCCCTTCCACTTGAGCGAGACAAAGCTCCAGTTGCTACGGCGTAGAAAACGCTGCTCTGCCATTCTTCTCTTCCTTTTCCCAAACTCTTCTTCCTCCTGATTCGAGTGACCAAGCAGAAGAGAGAAAGAGGCATTGAGACTGTGACGATACCCAAATATCATTGATACCCCCCAAAAAGGCCATCCACTTCTCAACCACTCTTCTCCCAATCAATTGACCTGCATACCTCCTCGCGGTCATGTCTGCGGCGGTCAACCGAGGTCTCAGGACAGCTTCCCGATCATTGCGTCTCCAATCGCGAAGCGTCCGCCTGGCCACTCCTCTCCGCGCCGGTCTCGCCTCCACTAACTTTGCCGCCCGCTCCGCACCTCAACAATCCCACAACTTCACCACCTCATCTGCGAGACAGAGCGCCGCACCAGCCATGGCCGAAGCGAGAGAGTACGATCCTGAGATCAAGGACATTGCCAACTACGTCCAAAGCTACAACGTCGATTCCGAGCTTGCTGTAAGTCTTTTTCTCCTTTCTTTTTTCCTTTCCATCTTTCTTTCACGGCCTTCAAGCCTGAGCGACCCGCCCGAGTTTTACCCCGCGTCACAGTCAGATCGCCGCCGCTAACCGCCGCTTTCGTGAGAATAGTTCGACACCGCACGATGGGTTTTCCTGGACACTCTCGGCTGTGGTCTTGAGGGCCTCCGCTTCAAGGAGTGCAGCAAGCTCCTGGGTCCCATCGTCCCCGGCACCGTCGTTCCCAATGGCCCCAAGGTCCCTGGTACCGATTTCCAGCTCGACCCCGTCAATGCCGCCTTCAACATCGGTGCCATGATCCGCTGGCTCGACTACAACGACTGCTGGCTCGCCGCCGAATGGGGACACCCTTCCGACAACTTGGGTGCCATCCTGGCCGTGGCCGACTGGATCACTCGTACCAACAAGGCCGGCGGTAACATTGCTGGCGGCAAGCAGTTCACCATCCGCGATGTTCTCGAGGGCATGATCAAGGCCCACGAAATCCAGGGCTGCCTGGCTCTCCTGAACTCCTACAACAAGGTCGGCCTCGACCACGTTGTCCTCGTCAAGGTCGCCAGCACTGCTGTCGTCTCCAAGATGCTCGGTCTCAACGAGAAGCAGATTGCCGACGCCGTCACCCAGGCCTGGGTCGACGGCCAGAGCTTGCGCACTTACCGTCACTCCCCCAACACCATGTCCCGCAAGTCGTGGGCTGCCGGTGACGCCTGCCAGCGCGCCGTCAACCTGGCCCTCAAGGTCATGAAGGGCGAGCAGGGCATCCCTACCGTTCTGTCTGCCCCCGTCTGGGGTTTCTACGATGTTCTCTTCAAGGGAAAGAAGTTCGAGTTCCAGCGCCCCTACGGCAGCTATGTCATGGAGAACGTTCTCTTCAAGGTCTCCTACCCTGGTAAGTAGCCCTTTGGTGATTTTTGTACTCTTGGGTACGTCCACTGACGAGAAACAGCCGAGTTCCACTCCCAGACCGCCGTCGAGGCCTCTTCCAAGATTCACCAGCAGCTCAAGGCGATGGGCAAGTCGGCGGCCGACATCAAGGGCGTCACCTGCCGCACGCACGAGGCCTGCATCCGCATCATCGACAAGCAGTTCAAGCCCATGGACAACTTTGCCGACCGTGACCACTGCATCCAGTACATGGCCGCCACCATGCTCGTCTTTGGCCGCCTCGAGGCTACCGATTACGTCGACGGCAGCGAGGCCGCGACCTCTCCTCTCGTCGAGTCCCTGCGCCAGAAGTTCAAGTGCGTCGAGGACCCGCAGTTCACCAAGGACTACCACGACCCCGCTCTCCGAACTATCTCCAACGCCCTGACTGTCGAGTTGAACGACGGCACGGTGCTCGAGGAGGTTGTCGTCGAGGCACCTCTCGGTCACCGCCTGAGAAGAGAGGAGGCCAAGCCCGAGATCCTCAAGAAGTACAAGAGGCACTTGGAGCCCCACTTCGATGCCGGCAGGGTCAAGCAGCTTGTTGACCTTGGCCTGGACCCCAAGAAGTTGGAGGCCACTCCTGTGGATGAGTATGTCGATCTGTATGTTGCCAAGGACAGCAAGTTCATCTAGGCGGTGGCGCATCAATGATTTCTAGGAAAAGATCTAGGAAAAGATTGGATACTATAGATGTTATGTTTCTACAGGATTTAGATATGGAAATCTGACAAATAGTATTTTGGCGCTCAAGGAAAGGTCCATCTTTAGTGTAAGGGGTTGTGTTCCTCGTGTCGGCACCGTGGACGACGAGTCGTCGGTCAGTGCATCTGAGCGGTTGCCTCTAAAGACGTTGTTCGGTTGAAGATGAAAAGTGTACTCCGTAGGCAATACGAGTATTGTTGGACACCCGACTGGCTACGCGCTAATGGCTTGTCGCTGACGAATCCGCCCCTGCAAGAAGCTCCTACGGCTCCCTCCCGACTCGGACAAGTACTGCCCAGGCACGGCCAGGTTTGGCGGGCACAGCCTCCCCGAAACCTCTTTAGGGGATGATTGGCTTCACTCCAAGGTCTGGATAGATGACTGATGATCGCCAAGCCCCATTCCCTGAGCTGGAGTCTGGGCGACGTTCACCTGGTGGGTATTTTTCAGTGGATGTTTCTCCTGGAACGGTGGAAACGGAGACGACCAGGAGACCAAGAGACCAAGAGAAACGGCTAGCTCGGGTCACGGCATTGTTTTGCGTTTCACAGGCCAGACACTTTTCGTTTTCCAGAGTGTCATTTGGAACCACAGGGACCACCAAAAAGGTGAGGGACTCCAAGTCTCGAAATGCATGGCGTGTTACCTAAGCCGCACTGCCGCTCACCTTGGTCCTTGGGTACCTACCGTGCTACAGCCTGCCGACGGATACTTGTACGGCGTGCGTACGGTCTGTACCTCCCACTTGGCCCTCCACCTAGAGCGCCACTTTAGTCCGTATTGATCTCCTGTTCGGACCTTTACTTCACTCCGACCGCATCTGTTTGTTCTGGAAACAACTTCGCCTCCTTTGATTTTCCCAACGTCTGAATCTGATACCCTCTTGCTTTTCGACTCACGAGAAACCTTGTGGTTTACTCACCTTGATACCGACCGACAGCAACACTCGACATTCCGCTGAACACTTCTCGAGCAACACTTTGATAGCCCATCTAGATTCAAGTGGGGGTTAGTCTCACAACAGGCACCATGGACAGACAAACCATCATCGAGACCAACCGGTCGCTGCGCACCATCAAGAACGTAGGTCAACCCCCGACACCCGTCCGAGGCTATCGAGAGCGGCGCGGAAGATATTGGTCAACTCTGGCCACTCCCCATCCCAAATTTCTCGACATCCCGCCCGATCCGCAATCCCACGTAACCGCAGAAACACTTCGTTCTAACATACCCTCGCTCTCAGGAACTCGAGAACCTCCTCGAAAAGGGCGTCATCTCCGAAGATGCCTACGACAGCATGCACGCCACCCTCCCCGCCGAGACCCCCCTCCACGGCGCCGCATCCCGCGCCGCGCCCGCCGCCGCTACCCCCGTCCAGCACAACAACCCAACCTCCCCGCCGGCCCCGACCGCCGCCATGGCCGCCCTGAACGTCAACCCCTCCGCCTCCCCGGCGCCCCCCTCCTACAACCAGACCGGTCCCCCCTCCCTCCCGGCCCGCACAAACGAGAAGCCCGTCCTGGCGCACGCCCGCGCGCTGTACCGCTACGCCGGCGCCGACGCCCGCGACGTGGCCTTCGAGAGGGACGACCGCATCGCCATCCACGAGTACATGAACGCCGACTGGTGGATGGGCCGCAACCTCCGCACCGGCCAGGAGGGCATCTTCCCCAAGACGTACGTCCTCGTCGAGCAGGACATGGCCAAGGGCGCCTTCGCTCCCGTGCCGGCGCCTGCGCAGCCTCAGTATGCGGCCCAGCAGCCGCAGTGGGCTCCTCAGCCGCAGTACGCCCAGCCTCAGGGCCCGCCGCCCCAGCAGAACCCTTACAACGCCGACGCGCCGCCTCAGGCTGTCGCGGACCAGAGCACCGGGGGTAAGGAGGGTGGCGGTAAAGGGGCCGAGATGGGCAAGAAGTTTGGAAAGAAGCTCGGTAACGCTGCTATCTTTGGTGCTGGTGCTACTATCGGTTCCAACATTGTCAACAGCATCTTCTAAGTGTGTTATTGATGGTGAGGTGCTGCTGAAAAATACGTTGGTGGTTTGCTACGTGACATCTGGACGGAGAGGGTTCTTTCTGCTCGAGGATGAACATTGCTGGAAGGAAGTAAAGGGCTAGATTGCCTGTCCTCCCTTTTCGTTATCTGCTGGGGAACCGGGTGTATATCTGAAATCGTCCTCAGCAAAGCTCCAGCCCGACATGTCCCGCCAGTCGTGGGGAAGCTCGGCTGAAGTTGCTTTGAATCGGGATCGCTGCATGGGGAAGATTGGCACATATGGACACGCTCATTCTGTTGTTGTTCCCTCTCTCCCGCTAATTGGTCATGGGTCTAGGCGTTACATCTGAATTTTTACAAGGCAATTCCGTATATTGGAATCAAATGATATACTTTTTCCACACGAGTTTCCCGGTGACGTGATCTTTGGGGGGTTTCCACGTGTTTTCAAGGCGTCTGTTTGTATGTCTGTCGTCACTTGTTGGGCTCAATTTATGAGTGAACTATGAGTAGTAACGTGAAAACCTAGAAAATCAGCCTACTTCGTTCAGGTAAACTAGTCGATCGAATGGATCTCCCGAAGACAGAGACTTGATTGGGTGGGGGGGTTGTATCTTTCGTGGGCAAATCAATTCGGAAACGGCTTAATCGGTGGGTAAAATGACTCCAGTTTGTTACCGGAGGATTCTCATATCCTGCCTCCTTCTTCCTAGGTGTCTTGTTTTGTGTGTACTCTACCCAAAACACGCGCTTTTAAGATTCGAAACTCCAATCAACGCACGAGCTTCGGGCTATAGAACGAGACAACGAGGAAGAGAAGAGAGGAGTGGGGGTAGATGGATGGCTTCGCGGCTCGGTCACCCCGGACATCCGAGGTGGTCTTGGTCTGTGGACCACAACCCTTTCTGAACTGCTCGTTACCGGTCTGACGGGTGATTTCCCTTGTGATCGAGGGCACCAGGGTTGCTGGAGAGGAGAGGAAGAGGGGGGGATGCTAGGTTTGAGAGGTTCGGGGGGCGAGGGTATGTGTGTGTGTGAACTAGGGGTAGGGGGAGGGGGAAGGGGGCGGAGGGTGGTCATGGCTTGACGATGGCTTCGTTTTGCTTCTCCTTTGGGGTATTTCGAAGAGAGAGTGAGAGAGAGAGACCCACAGAGGAATATGGAGGCATCTCAAACATTGTTCAGGCCGTGTGTCCCCTCCAAATCAGTGAGCTTGGTCGCCCTCAGTCAATAACACCTCTCTAGTATTCCTCCCGTCCTGAGTGTTCCCCTTTGAATCTGGGGACAGTGACAGGTACCCCGGGATTTGGCGGTATGCTAGGTGGACTCAACCTTGCAAGATGACGAAAGAACGGTAACTTTCGAAGGTTCGTTTTCTCTTCTTGTTACTACAAGCCGGCGAAGTGGATAGAGGCTCGGTGTAGTGAGGCTTTGAGGGCTGCCTAGCTGTGTATATCAAGTGCGGCGTTACTACCGCTGCTGCTGATACTAGCTAATCTGTCTATAAGTTTGCTTGTTAAAGACCCGATGTCATCATACCCGTCTCCTAGAGAAAATATCTAATAGGGATCATGCCCCAAGAGTTAACTTTCGGGCCAGAAGCTGAGATGTGAAGCAAAGAGTTCTTGATTTCCTCTGACGATCTATCGCATCCCACTCATCCCACCCGTACACACACATCTACACTGGGCTACCTTACGACAATCAAGAGAGGCGCACGCCGTGCACAAACCAGCTACTGCCCTCCCATCCATCTATCATACTGATACGCCGGTGTGAAAGTGCGAGGCAACCTCTATCCTTCTTCCAGTCCCAGTCCCACTCCCATCCCACCACCAAAACTCATCCAATCCCCATCATCCCCCCGGATGAGATCTCTCCGACCCTCACCCTACCCCCCTTCTCACACATCACTCTTCACCAAACCCCAGACTTTATACATCACCCATCTCAGAGCTCCTTCCATGGATTAACCCCCTTTCTATCCCACCACACTCTTCCAAAATTCGCCAACGGGATGAAGAAGAGTAAGGTTTAATCGAATCGCGCTGCTCCGTCCATCCCTCTTACTCTCTTTTCGCCATCCATCCCTAACCGGGTTATTCTTAGACTTTCTTCTAGTTCCCTTGGGCTCAAATGTCGGTACCGAGGCCGTGGACGAACATGTGCTCGGTTCGGGGAACGAAGAGAGATCGGGGAAACAAGAGAGGGAAAAGAGACGGGGGGAGGAGGAGAAAACGTGGGCGAATCCGGTTCGGGCGTGAACTTTCACGTCTTTCAACCCCGTGTTTGGTCAGTCATGCTCCCCAGACTGGGGTAGTTCTTCTCATGGACGGGGAGGGGATCCGATGAGGGTTGGAAATCTGGGGGTTCTTATGCGTGATGGATTTGAACCTGGGGATGCAGGTTTGACTACGAATTCCCTATGAATGAGTCGATGTTGATGGGTTAGGTACTCTCCAATTGTCACTTTGGTCTGTTCATGAGGTAATTGAGAAATAATCGTATTTCCGTGAGACTCACTCCTTTTCAAGTGTCTACCGTGATTTGATAGCCCAGGTAACGTGTACATCCTCGTATCTCATCTTCTCAAGGTGGTAGTAGTACATTGTTTCGGTGTTCTCCTTACGGTCACAATCGCGAACACAGCACAGAGAGCATCAAAAGTTCAGGACAAAAAGAGAGTTGATATTCATTCCACTATCCAATCTCCTCCATCCTCCGTCGTTCCAAGAGAAATATATGCCTGCAATATCTTAGAGAACACATACTCCTCCCTTCTCAACGGAGTACTATGGAGTAAAATGAACAAGTTCACCGCCTCTCCCTCGAAATATCTAAACAACAGTCAAGTGTTCAGATAACATCCTTCTCCCGAAATCTCGACCGCTGCCATATTGCAGCAAATGGGGATTGAAGAGGTGAGGCCAGTGAAAAGGGGACAGCAGAGCGAAAACGCCAACAAAAACACTACCAGTCTAGCAGGCTCCGAAAACACGTTCCCGCCCAGCCCACCACCACCCCCTCTTTCATCTTCTCCGAGAGTGAAAAATGAACATGCAGACCCAAATCGGGTTCCGGGTCTGGCGCTGGTTGAACAAAATTCGCAACACGAGCTTTCTCCCTCCAGAAACGCTCGCTCATGGTGCGAGCGCCTTCCCACTTGTGATCCAAATGGCGGCCGCTCGCAAAAGTTCTTCTCTACTCCGCTTCGTCCTCTACAGCAAACGCTGAGATGCTCCTCTGGCTCTCCGTATTGAACATTCTGTCGTTTTTTTTCTCTTCTTTCTCTGCAATCTGTCGTACGCTTGCGTCTGTCGCGCAGGGGCTACTACACGACACTTCGGAAAGTTTGTAGTCCCCTCGAGGAATGGCGGCATGATGCCCTTACATCGGCCGAGCAATACCGATGGGGGTGCCCATCTTCTCGTCCTGCCACTGCGGGCGCTCGTTGTTCCAGTACTGGTCGTCGTCCTCGAGCGTCTTGGCCGGAGCGACCTGGGGCTCGAGGCGGCCGGCGGTCCAGGCACGCATCGGCTTGCCGTACTTGTACATGACGGGCAACAGCATCGAGACACCCGCGAGCGCTGCGCTGTAGATGCCAAAGTTCTTCAGGAAGCCGAGCTGCTCGATCCAGGTGGTGACGTTGAACGACATGATGAAACCGATGATGAGACGGGATGAGGAGACGTTGACCAGGACGGGTCTGACCACGCGTGTTAGCTGCGAGATTTTGAGTTTGGTGATGGGGACAACAACTTACCCTGCGAAACGGGGATAACTCTCAACCAAGTACACGGCGAAAATGGTGTTGGCGGTCAACAAGCCGAAGCCGATCAAGAAGATGGAGACAAGCACGACGATCGAAGGCAGCGTTCGAATGTTCTCACCGGCGTAGCCGAACAAGATCGGGCCGACGATGGAAGCGAGGAGAGGGAACACCAAGCTGAGGAGATGAGCCTCGGGCTCACGGCGACCTCCGTTGCGCTTCGCGACATAGTTGGAAATCTTGTCGGCCACGTAACCGCCAAAGAACCAGACAAAGGGACTGGCGATGACGATGGGGATGACGGCGAAACCAAGCGTCTCGAACTTCCAGCCGGCGGCAATCAGGAGTGACGAACCGACCTGACCGGCGGCACCCTGCATGGAAACAAGGATGGAGTTGATGATGATGACCCAGATGATGTTGGGGAAGAGAGTCGTCTTGAACATGTCGACGACGGACTGCTTGGCCTCCTTCCACTCGTAGCCGTAGTTGAAGATGCCGAACTCATCCCAGTTGGAGCGAGGGCGGAAGGTCGATTCGTCGATGCGAGGACGGGTTTCACCGGGGCGCAGGGGGTAAACCTCCTTACCAGCTGTTCCATTACATTAGCCACATACGCCAATGTTCATATGATGATACTCACCAAGCTCATCGTCGCTGCGGATCCAACGGGTCTCGGGCACGAGCAGGATGAGACCAATCCATGCAAGCACACCAACACCGGAGGTGATCCAGTAGATGAAGCGCCAAGACAGGCGGGAAACAATAATGGGACTGTTTCAAATAGTCAGTCACTGTAGAAAGCCACTAGTGTATTCGACAAGTGTTTCAAAATCTCACCTCATGATACCCAAGCTCACAATCAGGAGACCTTGAGAGGCACCGACGGAAGAGATGGCCTTGTTGCGCTGGTGGATGAACATCATGTCCTGGATGATGAGGGGGATCAGAGCCTCGACAGCACCCGCACCGAATCCCTGGAAGCAACGAGCAGCCAAATGACTTCCGAGGCCCTGAGAGAAGCCGGCCCAGAGACCTCCAGTCCATGCCAGGAAACCAGAGAGCAGAAGCACGGGGCGACGGCCAACGGCAACCGAGAGCGGGACAAGGAGGTAGGAACTGAGTCCGTTGACGAGCAAGGGGACGGAGGCCAGCAAGGCGACCTGGTACAGCGGCGGTCCGCCGAGACCAGCAAGGAGCTTGACGGGGTCGAGGTTGACTTCGCCGGGCTTGTTGAGGGCCGAGATATCGATCTGGCTGAGGATGTGGGGGTCGATGCCAGAGTACTCCAGCACAAACACTGGTACCAGGGCACCGACAATGAACTCAGCCGCGAGAGCGAGTGAGCCGACTGCAGACGGATCAGTATCAAAAAAGATGCTGCCTCCCAAGATCTCACTTACAGAAGCAGAGCGCGCCAATGGACGTCCATTTCCTCCAGTTCGGCAAGTTCAGGGGATCTGTCAAGCCGTGTCAGCAACCGTAATGCGCCATCAAGTCGATTTTCCCTCCCCCATATCCTAAGCTATCGTAGTCGCAGACTAACCCTTGGGATCCGGTGTGGGCATGGGCACAAATCGAATAACTCCTCCCTCGAACAACTGCGTCGATCCCACTACCAGGGCATTGGGAGTCTCGACCCTCTGCACCGTGGCGAGGTTATCCGTAGATTCGGTCCAGCCGCTCTTTGACGCCATCTTGAAAGTCCTGTCCAAGGAACTTATCTAGATGTCGGATATTTGTCGTCGTCGTCGCCGTTCTTGCACAATGTATCGTGATGAATATCGGCCAATTTCCAATCTCTAAAATCTTTGTTGATCACGGAGTCGCTTTCGTATTCCTCCCCGCGGAATTTAGTCGTCTGGCCAGAAAAGGAAAACAAGAGTCCCCAGGATGGATGGACGGCGGCGAGGGTTTGGAAATATACTGCTGCATGTCGCCGTGCGGTGACAGGTTGGCACGAGGGGCGAGCGCTCTGTCATAGGCCGGCCGCGGTTAGACGAGCAGTCTAATCTGAGACGAAGGCCGATGTGTGCAACTGCGCAACTGTTTGAGCGCACGGAGCAATGTACGGGGGGCTAAAGAAGGGATAGACTCGAAGCATTTCCAAATTGGTCAACTCATGCGGATGTTTGGGGGGTGACTTGATTTGGGAGGGATGGGCGGCATCGGATCGACCTAATCCTGGCCTCGCATCTGTTGGTGAAGAGCCTATTCGGGCAATACGCCAACCTGGGTCTTAGTTAGCAAGACTCAACAACTCTATAGCCCTCCACTGACCCACACAAACAAGACAACCTAATGGAGCCTTTAGTCGATCTGCCCCGCGGTGAGCCAAAACGAACAAGCTTTATGAAATGGTCGTGTTTGGTCCGCCTCAACTGCCGAAAAAGACAGTAACGGACAAAGTCTCTTGCGGAACGGACCAACGAAAAAGTGAGATAATGATGCCAAACGACATGAACTTTGGTAAGCACGACAACTAGAGAAGATAGATAGAGAGAGACAGAATGAGAGAGAGGGAAAGACTGCCATGCCATCCCTCGGGAAAGCTCTCGTCAACTCATCACTGGAAGAGGTCGGGCCTTGCGAGCAACGTAGAGTTGGGATGGTTGCAAAGTGACGGCACCGTCGACCATTGGGTCACTCCTGAACCGCCACGATCCCACTGTTGTAAAACTCTCAGATACGGCGAAGAGTTTTGAGTTGTTGCGATGGAGGGGTGCGTTGGCCTCGAATTGGTTCGAGCTGAAACACCATCACAGTAGTCTATGCAAGGTCAACCCTTGTCTCTCCGCCTTGAGCCTCAACGCAGCCCACCCCGGTAGTGGGCGGCAACTTACAGTAGACCAACGGCATCGCAGCGCTCGGAGAATTCGAAAAGAAAAAATACAACACCTAGAGGTTAATTTCGACGAGCCGGCGTTCAACTTACGTACGATCCCACAATTTACCCCATACTCTGCCATAGGCCCGTCAACGACGATCCATGGCAAACACGCCGACACTGTCGTGACCTTGACATCCGATTTCGAGGAGAGTCATACCCTCTGATGCGACGCCAAGTTTCCTACGCCATCCATAAATCTTCCAAACATGCTTCGACACGGAGGGATATTCACTACAGGCGAAGCGTGGGCCGCCATGTTCCACCGCCACTCTCGGCCCGCTTTCACAAGCTGCCGTTCATGGGATGAGCCTCGGGCCAAACTCTTGAATCCCAAAGGCCTAGCTAGTTACGTGTTTGTCTTGTTCGGATTTTTCATTCAGGACTCGCTGTGCTGTCAGTAAGTCACTTAACACCAGACGTCCGCCGGCATTGAAAGAATGTGAAATATATCGTCCATTCGTGTCCGGTTCCCCCTTCATCGCGCTCGCTAACCGGCACTACCTGATCCGCCCGTCTGTGTCATGAAATGCTGCCATCCGTCCACCTGTCATCGCAAAATAGGGTGTTGAGAAGAGTCAAGCCCTTTTCCACCTGGTGATTCAAGGAAACATTCGCAACCAATGCTGCTGTTAAACCAATGAGTGGTATCCATGCCCGATATGTACCAAAACCTCCAAACTCCTTGTAAACATCAAATTCCTAGGTATCTGTGCGCGACGTACGAAGCCAAAGAAAATTCGGTTGCGGGTGATGCTACGAATCGAAAGCAAACGTTGATGATGCGAGGCGGCGGCGAAACTAAATTAGTCCCTGCTTGGGAGAGATTCAGGAAGTGATGATGCTAGGATCTCATCCTGAGTCTCGGTACCGTCAGGCCATGTGGGCAGGTCGAGCGATGCATACTGCTCGCCAGTCTGTTCCTCCAGTTCCTTTCGGAGTATTTCGATTGCAATCAGCCAACGTCGTTGCAGTCTCTGCTTGCGGTCATTAAAACTCTTGACCAGGGTATCTTCTTCTTGCGCAAAATCCGTTGCCAGATTCTCTATATCCTGCTCTTTCTTGTCGGTCAGTTTCTCGAGTTCTTGCTCCTGTCGTTCCAAAAGCTCCTCCATGCGCTTGGCCTGCCGGTCTCGCAAAACGTTGATTTTTGCTTGATGCAGACGCTCCATGCCATCTCGCACGTTGTACTGTTGTCCCAGCAGGCGTAGGTCCCTCTCTGTAACTACTCGTGGTGGCAGATCAGCATTCTGCGTCCGACCAAGCCCATCGCAGTACGCCTCCATGTGCTTGAGGCGAATCTTGACGCTCTTCTCGCTCTGGTCAAGCGTGGACCGAAGATCCATCTCAGCCTCAATCTGACGTTCCTCCAAGTGAGCAGCCGTCTTCGCATGACGCTCTTTCATCTTATCGATCTGGTCCGAGTATCGATCCGTCAAGGCCTGCTTCTTCTCAGTGTGTCGCGTCCACATGACCCACTTCTTCTTCCTCAAGTACGCCCGGAATCGATCCAGCTCTTCGCTCATCTCGTCTTGCAACGCGGCGAATTGCGCATTCTCACGGGTCCGCTTCTCTGCTTCAACCTTTTTAGCGGCTTCGGCGGCTGCCGCTGCTTCTTGAGCAACCTTTTCCGCCTCCAATTCAGCTTCTCTGGCCTCTTCCTCCATTCTCCTGCGCTCCAACTCTTCGTCTCCGTTGCAAAAGTTGGGACAACCCACGGATGGATCCCAGATGGCGCCACAAATGTAGCAAAACTGAGCTTTGCATCTGCAGGTCATGTGGGTGCAACCCTGACTCAATTCGACCAGCGTTCGACACTTGTAACATCGTCGCCAGCCGGATTTCTCGCCCATCTTGAGAACAGCCTCCAGTTCCCAGTCAGAAGGACAATCTTTGCCTACGGGATGGGCGTTACGTTTGCACATCACGCATACCCGTGTCCGACATTTTCGGCACACCACATCAAAAGGGTGCTTCGGGTCGATCCGGTTGCGAGGAGGGATAAATTCACCACAGGCCGTATTTGGGCAAAAGATTCTAGCTTCCCAAGGTGTGCTGAATTGCAAAACCGCCTTCAAAAAGGCATGTTGCTCCTCTCGGTTGAGGATTCGCTGGATGATGGATCCCGGAATTGGCTGTGTGCAGCATCGAGGCGGCATCTTAGACTCGTCCGTCGTAGCTTGCCGGATCATGATACTGAGGCATTCGGCACAGTATGTGTGGCCACACGGTAAGCTGTGCAAGGCATTCGACTTATTGAAGTCATTGCGACAGCATATGCAAGAACTTGAGGTTGGTCAGCGCATATACGAAAGTAAGAGGTGGGGATTACACACATTGTGGATTCGAGCAAGCCGGACTTGCGCTTCCACCGTATCTTCCTAATGCCCTCTTTAATGCTAAAGTAGCTTCTTCTTGAAGTCACGCTGAAGAGGCTGTGTGCGGTTGTATCGTGTGGTATGGCTGGGGGTGCCTTTTGGATTTTGGGCTGGTGGATATTGGGATCTATTTGCAGTAGATACTTGTCGTACTGAGAGAAACTGAGGCTCTTGGAGCGTTTTCTTGCGAGGGAATGCGGAGGAACGTCGGCAGCAAGCGGAACCGCACGTAAAGAGGGATGAGATGTCAAGGTTGTGCTTGCCGAATCTCGCGAGGCATTTGAAAACGTTCGGACATGTTGCGTCGCGATGGTCGAGGTCTGCGATTCTGCGCTCGAGGTATTGCGCTTATCGTGTGTGAACCGGGACGTTGGAATGCCCAAGGCGGCTGCCTTTGCGACCAGTTCCTCCTCAACATCTGCTTCTGACCGTTGCGACGACAGCCGCAGCACCTGGGCGCGATATTCTGCCTCGCCATCGTCTGGGGTAGTCATGAGAGGCGGCGGACGGGCCATGTCCGTAGATGAGCTCGTCTGGCCAGCGAGCGAACCCATGGCGGGCAGAGGGGTCGGAAAAGAGGAAATCGTCAAGTCAGGGCAGCGCAAGCAGAGGCATCGTGGTTCGGGGCTCGGTGTGGTTGACAGCTCTCCGGACCTCGCCGGCCGGTCAAGTAGACGAAGGTGGTACGACTAATTGGCAATTAATGCGCAGATGGTTTGAAACGGAAGTTGCAGGTACTGACTTGACATCGAACGGATCAAGTGAGGCCGGAGAAAGGATGAACCCACGAGGCAGGGCAACCACAAGCTCTGGCGAGTAGGCGAAGTGGACAGCGGCAATGATAGGACGAGAGGGGAGCCAAGGTTTGCCAGTGGTGGTGGAGGGCAAGGAAGGCCCAAGGGCGAGAAGCAGGAATAGGTGCGGTGGGATGTGCAGTATTGGTAGAGGGCGCGAAAGGGTGGTGTATGTCGTTTCTTTTTCGGGTGTGAGGGCGAAACGGCGAATTGGGATGCGGCCTGGACCGCGAACGTGACTTGACGGGATAGGAGGATGATGCAAGGTTTGGTGAGTGTCGATTGATTGTCGAGGAGGGGATGGGAAGCCGGGCTGAGCGTCGCTGAGTATGTCGGGAATACGGTTGAGTGTGAAAGGGCGGTTGATGGCAGGGGCGAAAGCGCAGATCTTGGGGACCCTTGAGAATGACAAGGGGGCTATCCGTCCACGGCAGGCTAGAAACGGAGCGGGGAGAGGCAGGAACTGGTCGTGCTGCGACGTTGTGGTGGTGAGATGGGCGAGTCGCGGGCGGGTAGGGACCGTAGTAGTGACGGTACGGATTGGAGACCAGACCGTAAGGAGGACTCGGGCGGAGGGGCTCTCCAAGGTGTTGACAATCAACGTGCCGATGCTAACGTTTTCGAGACAAGGGCCGAACGGTGAGTGCGATTCAAGCCAGGTAGGTGTGCGGTGAATCGGTGGAATGCTAGAGAGAGATGCCTATCCGTAGAAAACAGCGGCGCAGGTAGATTCAGGCAAAGGGAGGAAGCTGCGGATTGAATGCCTGCCGCGTCCTCTTACTCTGCTGGTCTGGCACTTGGTCGAATGCAAAGAAGAGTTGAGTAAGTGCGGGACCGCAGTTTGATTTGTTGGTGATTTGTCGGCTGATGTGTGACGACAGCGATAACAGGACGGGACTCGAACGAAGGGAGTGTGAGAGGAAGAAAAGGAGCCCTGACTGGAGACTGCCCAGGTGGGAATCGGGAAGCGCAGGGCGGGCAGGGGCGGTGGACAGTGGGCCGTCCAAGGTGAGAGCGGTGTTACCTTCTTGTTCGCTGCCCGTGTGGAGAGATGGACACTAATACTCATGGAAGGAACAGGAGACGGTAGGGATGGGGCCCCGGGCTTTCAGAGACTACCTTACATAGGTCCTGCGTACAGACTGCAATCATTTTTTGAGGCGACATAACATGGCTGGTAAGAGATGACAAAGACATCCAGATGAGCATTAGAGAGCGAGCATAAACATCATAAGAATCAAGATGCAGGTGAGAACCACTGGTTTGGGAAAGATTGGAACAAACGGGACAATGGAGGGACATGGTGACATGGGATTGGGCTTCCGGCTGTTGGCGCCACATCCGACATGACCTGATTCCCCATTTCCTGCATGGCCCGACTCCCGTCCGCACTTTGCACTAATGATGCTGGACTCCGTACTTTATCTCATTTCACATGTCTTTACTGCTTCGCGTCAGTAGGTATCTAGGAGGATTCAATAGGTGCCGTGCTGGCTGCATCTTCATATAAGAAGAAGTATACCTAATGTAAGGTAAGGTAAGGTACGGTAGCAAACATATAGGGAATTCTTCAGTACAAATCTGCCTTGGGTAAGATGTAGCAGCAGCAGCCGCCACAGTTGGCAGGCACCTTACGACCAATCCCTCCTTCCCTTGCCTTACAACTTTAGAGGGCCCCGCCGGTGCCGCCGCCACGGACAGATACGTACCGAGTCCCGTCCCACCCCGGGCACCTGCACCAGCATCCATTGGATCCCCAGTGGAGAACCTGGAGAAGGGAAAGAGCGCCCTTGCGCCTTCCCTTTCCCAAACCCGTCTTGGGTACGGAGTAGGTACATACAACACATCCCGTGCGCCTGACCTGCGCCGCCTGCCGTTCCAGTGTGAACCTGCCGCAAAATACTTTCTGACCGGAGGCAGATTTGCGTCTCATGCTTCCACGTTGATCAGCTTGGACTTCAACGAGGACAACTCTACCTCAGGAACCTTCCCCCCAGTCAAACCACAATCTCCAACTCACTTTTGACCATGGACTTTGCAAACCGCAAACGCCGCCAGCAACCCCTCACACCTTGCAAAGTCTCCTCGATAGACAGGCGGTAGATGGACCTTAGCCGCCCAGTGGTGGGCCAACTGACTTGGACAATGTCACAAACTTGACTACCACAGACGGAACCCTGCTGATAACACGATTCCTCGGCTTCTTCGTCATTGTCGCTCCCTTGACCAACTGCCATCCTACAGCCTCTACCCATGTGGCACGTCGACGTGCCACACTGTTATTGTACAACGTTGGCGCCTGGCGGTGAACAAACGAAACCGTCCCTGGATACAAGCCTTTGAAGCAGCCTCGATCAAGGCAAAGCTACATTCGGAAATGCATCTCATTCGTTTGCAATACGTGCTATCTGCCTTCTCCTAGGCACCTAGGGCTTATTGTTCCCCCTTTCCCTGCCATCGCTAATGATAAGCTCTGTGCTTGGTTGGCCTGTTGGTACTGACGGCAAACCTAGGTCTCCAAGTTCTCCGGCCTTCATCACAGATCCGACTTTCCTGCATGTGCGAACGGGGAAAGCCACGCTCATTCTCCAGCACCCTCTCGAGCGCCGGCCGTTTTCCTCCATCTCAGACACCGTTGGCATCCAGTCATAATCCCTAGTATCCGTCGTATGCAGCACTAGATTTGCCGAACCCGAGAGTCAATCCTGATGCAGCTTGCCGCAACAATTCGCAACGCATCGTGAGCTTTGGCCGGTTGAAGGAAACACCGGAAGCCTTCCGTCCTCATGGTACCCGTACCGAGTACGCAGGCATATATCAGCCCACTTTCTCCAAGAACCCCATCCCTCCCCGCCGACCAGGATGAGGCTTTGAGAGGCTCCGTCAACGCGTGGTTTCGTTTCCCACTTACAATGGCCTTCTACCTCCCCGCGCTGCCGATTTCTGCATGCGCTAACAATATTCCCAAAGGCTGAGGGCCCAGGGCTGATGGAAATCAGTCTTCCTGAGGAAGCAAACGCTCAACATTCATGTCAGCTACGCCCATGGCATGGCACCATCCAACCCCGAATATGGGTGTCTGACAACTGCATCCTGAACTTCAACACTCAGCCCCGAGACGACCTTGACGCCCACAATGCCAAAATTCGCGTCTCCAACAACTACATTAGCAGTATATGCGAAACTATGAGCCCTTGCCTGCTCGCCACTTAAGCTTTGGAAACGTCCGTGACATTCAAGGTCGATAATAAGGTCGGCCGATGGTCTGAGCTTCGCACAGCTCCATTGACAGGGCCAAAGTTACTCATGACTCCAAAGATACCTCCAATGTCCCCTCAAGGCGACCGCCTTGACTCGCCGACGGGTTCTCAACCGTGTTGGAGGAGCTCCAATCGAGATTCTCCTCCACAACTCTAATTGCACTCGGGAAGCATGCTGCTACATGGCTCTCTTGCCCCTTTCCCCGATTCCCCCGCATTAATAACTCGAGTCCGAGTTCCCGCTACATGCGGCACTTACTTTAGCACCGAGTACTGCACCGCACCGGCCCCACATTGCGCCGTCCAACGCCGGAGTCATACCCGGGCTGCCGGAGATCATTCACGTTCACCATGAGATCTAGATCTACTACACTCGCAATCACCTCATCTAAACGCGCAGGCGCCAAAGGAAATGCTGCTTACATCGAAAAATAAGGGTTGGTGGCTGAGAACAGGTACCTTTAGATGTCTCAAGTTGGCAACGGTTGGTTTTCCTCACCGCGAACAGAAAAAGAAACCAACAAAGAATGGGAGGGAAAAGGACATTGAGCAAAAAGCAAAAGGAAGAGCTACACCTTAATCTTTGCACTCCAGCGATAGTGACCATGGCCTGGAATGAGGATTACTCACCACCCAAGCTTCCTAGCCATTTCCCCTTTAACTAGTGGTCGTTCAGTGCGATTCCCGAACCATGTTCCAAATTCAGCAAGGCCGTTCCGGTCAAATCATCGCAATGAGAAATACACTCTCCTTTCGGCCTTTTTATCATCCTCGAAAAGTTCGTAGAGGGCGAAGAATACCGCCAACCCTGCTACTGCAAACGACTCGCGAAGAAACCAATGGAGATGTATAGGCTGCAGAGGCCCTTCTTCGTGCCCGCAGCAACATCGAGAATCAGGTAAAGCCATGACATTGTCCTCCTCCCCATCGCTTACTTGTCGAGATCATTCGCCTCCTGCATACTATTCGTCACCGCACATCGAGAGGCATGGCCGCCATTGACCACGGCATTACGTATTTCGGTCCTGGGTAAGCGGCACGGCGAATATCTACTCTTGAGACCTGAAGCGGGGGGCACATCTCATAAGAAGAGGCTCTCTCACTAGAGATTACTCCTCGTCATCGATGCCCATCCCAACAGGGCTCTTCCACCATCCAGGAGTAGGTCTCTGCCAGAGATGACATGGTACCCAACTTTGATCAAGGAAAGCTATCAAGGTCTCGAAGTACACCGCTTTTCACAACGTGGCAGTACTTTATGGCTTCCTCTCAGGCCGTTTGCTAGCAAACACCACACCGGAATGCAATGCCACCCTACGCTCGAGTCAGTCGTCTACATAACACCGTACGCCTTCCACGAAAGCCGGGGTAAGGGTGGCCCCAGCAGCCCTTGTCTGCCCAATGCACCTAGAAGCAGTCACAGACTCCCGAGCCCGTCCTTCAACAGCTGAGAGCAGCAGCACATCAGACTCTCGTCACTGTGATCTGGTTGAGGGAGCTCTGACCCTCCACGCCGTTTCTCGATTTGAGGTCCAGCTAGCCTCTTGATGCGGCTAGCAGTAGCGGCTTACCTGCCAAAGCTTCGCGGACCAGCGCATCCCCTCGTGGCAGCCGTACTGATATTGGGCTGATTCGCTCGGACATGCCATACGGAACTTTGGCTGGCCTAGAACCGCAAGAGAAGGGGGGAGTAACTTCTCATCTGCAGCAGCGGGCTCTCTGATGCCAATAGACAAAGTCGTTTGAGGTTTCTCATTTCTTCATCGGCTCGTCACCCTGCTTCTGCCGTCAAGTGCAGATAGGTGGCTTGGGTGGGTAAGTACCATCGAACCGATGCCGGTTGGGAACCCGACTTTGAACGTTTCCGGTCGACGCTCTTTCTTGTTCCAGCCGATCAAAGGAAAGCGTTAAACCCTAGCGTCTTTGTGCAATCACCGGCTTTCCTCAAGTCTGGGTGCCTTCTGTTCGCCCGCCCCATCTCGATGGAATGGGAAAAGGCTGAGGAAAGTTTAAAGCCGCCACCGGGCATTGGTGATGCTGCTTCGATCACTTGCGGGCGCCATATCCAAGTGCCTGTTGAGAGAGAGGCGGGCAGTACCTTGCTGCAAGCTATCAGCTGTAGTGCTTCGTACAATCGAACAAAAGTTCGGATAGGCGGCTAGGAATTGACAGGTCTCGATGATACAGAAACCGACAACAACAGTGGGATCGATCCCTCGATGAAGACTGCATCCAGGAAACGCCATCGAATCTCTTTGGATTGGAAAAGTCCGTTTTTGTCTATGGAATCTATTGGGGGTTGTGTTGGGTATAGTTACTATTCTGTTGGTACAGGGGTGTTTTCTAGCCGCGCAACGGAGTATTTACAGACTCTCTCTCTCCTTCTAATGAGCTGAGAAGATGGTGGTTTGTCTCCCGTGTGGAGGAAAGAAACCTTTGACAACATACAAGCCGCATGTGTTGTACAGAATTACGAATGGTAATTAAACAAGGAAGAGAGGGGGAAAAAGGAATGAAGCCAGGTCGTTCGAGGACATGTTGCTCGTTGACGCTCGTATAACTCTTTTTTTCCTTTCCTCTGCGCCTTGCGCCTGCTTCCGGAAACGCCGCCGCCGTCGTATAGTCCGTTCCTAGGATAAAGGTTTTTTTTAGAGTGTTTTTTCGCACCAAGCCTTCGAATCCTTGAACGGTCTACCTTTCACTGATGAAAGGTTCATGTGATTTTTCGTTCTTTCCCTGCTCTGGAGAAAGACGCGACCGCCGCGCTTAAGGCTGACACGCAAGAGGCATGTAGGAAGCAGCCCATAGGAAGGCGATGTTCGTTAGTTTACCTCTGTTTCATGCCCTGCCCGTTGGAATCCGTTTCTTTTCTTCCTTTGTCGCTACCAAGGCTTAGCTCACTGGAACCATTTCTTGGTCGTGCTCTTGGCATTCGCCGCCGCGGCAGCCTTTTGATTCGTCACGCGACGAATCTTTTCGCGGTTCCTCGCGTCCAGCTGGCTCCCCGGCCCGTCGTCCTGGAACCAATGCTGTTGACCGACGGCCTGCTGCTGAGCATGCGACGATGTCGAGGAAGAAGACGAAGACGACGACGACGACAGCAGGGAGCGAGTGTTGCGCGTCAAGGGTCCGCGCTCGTCAAACATCATTTTGACGCGCTGGACCTTGCGGAGCTTGACGAGGCCGTACCAGCAGACGATGAGGGAGCAGATTGTCGAGGTGATTGTGACGCCGGCGAAGCCCCAGTTGGTCTCCTCGATGAAGTTTTCGAGGTTCATGCCGTAGAGGCCCGCGAGGAAGGTGCCCATTGCTAGGCCTAGGGTGCCGACGCTGAAGCGGAGGTCTAGGAGCATGAGGGCGTTGCGGTTGGCGTCTAGGATTGCGCGGATGCTGGGTAGGTTTTCAATGTTAGTGAGCATGCTCAAGTGGTTTGTGGAAGTCGTTGAGGGTTGCTCGTGGAAGTAGAAAAGGGGGGGGGCTTACATCTCCTCGGTGTTGCGGATGCCCGACACCAAGTTCTGAGCCTCCTGGACGATTTCGTCGCAGAGCTTATTGTACGATTCCAGCAGCAGCTCCACCTCGGTATGGTCGTCAACGCCGCGGTAGAGGTCGTGGGCCTTCTCGGTGAGGTACATGGCAGCCAGGTCGTCGTCGGCCTCGAGCAGCTCCTCAATGGCGTCGCGGACCAGCTTGGCCTTTTGCTCAAAGGTGCTGACGCGCTTGGAGAGGATGAGGAGGACGCGCAGCTTGTGGCGGTCGATATCGTGCTCGAGCTCGCTGAGGACGCGGATGACGGGGTCCCGGACGGACTCGAAGTCGGCCTCGAGCTCCGACGTCACGGAGGTGAGGACGGCCTCGAGAGCGCGGAACTCGTAGGGGAGGCCGCCTACGCCGTTGCCGCCGCCGCCCTGGACGTTCTTTTGCTTCAGCTTGCCCTGCAGGTCGTACATGAAGGCGGACTGCGGGTAGGATGTCTTTGAGCCGTAGACGTCGAAGAGGAGGACGCGGTCCTTTTTTATAAGGACTTTAAGATGGAGGAGGTTGAGGAGGATGGCGGACTGGCGGACAAAGATGTGAGGGAGGTTTGACGAGTCAATCTTTCGTAAGTCGCGGGGTAGCAGGCCGTACTATAAAGCAACACATCTTTCGTCAGCGATCCAGTCTCTTATTACCAAGTCTCCCTCATTGTCGATTCGCCATGGAGCACTTCTCTCACCTTTGCGATGAGCTCCGTCTTCTTGAACTCGCCATCCACCAAGATGACCTCGCCGTTCTCGTCCACCTCTGTGCACCGCAGCCTCGGCTCGAGCGCGGCTTTGGCAGTCAGCACGCGGCGATTGTTGAACATGGAGCCCCCTTCGTCGTGGAAGGGGAGGTCGTTGGGCTTCAGCGCCTTGGCGCCGCCCCAGCTCCTGATGCCCCAGAGCTTCTCCTTCCAGGTCCGCCGGCGGGGCGCCGATGGGTCGTCGTCGCAGGCATCTTGCCTCGCGCGGGTTGTGCTGAAGAAGGCGGTGGCCGTAGAGGGCGACGCCGATGCTGCTGTCGCTAGTGGTTCGAGAGCTCTTGGCCTGCGGGATATCCGGGCCGCGGCGGTGACGTGGAGCTCGGGTCGTCTACAGCTTGTCGTCGTCGTCGTCGTCGTCGCTGTCGAGAGGGATCTCGTGCCCGTCTTTGGAGTGCGCCTCGCGAGGCACCGGGAGTTTTGAGCTGCTGGTCGAGGGGAGCCGCCGCATCGGGAGATACAAGCGGCGGTTTCGATGCCTTGGTTCCGGCTGCTGAAGATTGAGGCCTCCGTTTGCGACCGCAGGAATCGGAGCAGGTTTGTCGAGGGTACTCGAGTCTGCATCGCGGGAGGCATCGCGGTCGAAGGACCCTTCACCGCATATAATGGTTCTATGCTTCCCTCGTGGAGGTTGTCGGGTTCACTTGCACGATGGTCTGCAGGGTCGGAATTGGCGACGCGAAAGCTCTCAATTGTCGTCACTCAGCCAACTTTTTTTTTGGTCGTTTTACCGCGCAGCGAGTTTAAAGTTGGGACCACTGCTGCACGGTCCAGGTGATCACGGACAGTCTTTGATGTCATTCGACACGGCTCTCGCACAGTACGAAACCCACATGTGGGAAATCTCGAGGACCCTCCAGTCACTTAATTAGCGGGCAGAGAGAGAAAAAAAAGGCACTCGTTGAAGGGTTTTCTCGGGGAGGCAAGAATATCTGCAGTCAGTCCGGCACGTCTGCTTGGCCACAATATTTCTCTTTGGCTTCTTTTGCATAGTATCTCAACTGCCGAGCGCATCGTCCCTCTGAAGTCCAGACGAGGTTTGATAGTTGGAGGCACAAGGTTTTTCACTTACACCATTCTTACCTCAGCTCCAGCTTTTCCTTAAAACCATCCTCATTGATACCCCTCTCATAGAAAGGTCTATCAAGCTCGGCAATTATTTTCGACTCTCATCTCTGAAATGAGACCGCAGAGATAAAAGCCCGCCTGGGGATACGAGAGAGCGAGAGAGAGCGCAAACGGGGAGAAAGGTGGCCGTCTGTCCATGGGCAGATCATGCAGTTGACCCCGATCAAAGTCCGAGGCAAGCGTGGCAAAACCGCTTCCTCCAAACCACAGACCAAGGAATCATCATCATCACTGGCGAAGAAGCGGGCGTCACGCCTTGCAAGTCGTCCAGTCGCCAAACGCTTCTCCCTCTTTGAACAGAACTTTCCCCTTGAGATCGCCGAGCATATCTTTATACTCAGTGAGAATCTCAATCTCCCCCGTTGCAGCCCGCGCATCGGCGCTCTGCTGTCTGGGCGATCTACTCTTGTCAACATCATCATCGCCGCTTTCCATCCGACCTGGGACTGCTGGTTTGGTGTCGATAAGCGAGTGATTAAGACGGCTTTGAAACAAGGCGCCGCAGACGACGCGCGAGGACTATGGCGATATGAGAGCTTCCCTGAGTTATTCCCGGGTGATTCTGAATTTCAGGTATGACTCGATTTTACCGTAGGAAAACTTCCCATCTTATTGACTTTTATGACCAGTCTTCGCTACTGAGCAGTCCATGGATCAACGTGGACATCATCTTCGAGGCCCGACAGGTCTGGGCTTGGCGCTTCGCTCGCAACAGGTGGTACTCACACTCCCACGTGGGCCTGAAAGACGAAGAAGATGCAGAGCAGGATAACCGTCTCGAATCACCGCATGATCGAGTAGGCGGCTTCGGTCATTTTGACTCCCGCGGCTGTTTCGAATACGACTGGCTCTCGTACGGCCTCAACGGTTCCAAACCGGCACTCGACTTTTACGTCGATGTACACCCAAAGACGACGATCCCAGACGATATCCTCACCGGCCCCTGGACGCTCGAGCAGCAAAGACTCCTTTTCTGGCTCCGGAGAGGCGGCGCAAGAATTCAGCCAGAGAGTCAGACTTGGGAAGTAAGTTGACATCTAGCTGAAAACCATTGTACTTGCAGCAAGTATAAAGGGGGCTTTACTAACAAGCACACAGACTCTTCGCGTCGGCCTCCAAAATGCCGTCACGCATCGCAGTCCAGGCAACCTAGACGGCCGCCTGATCGAGATGCTCCTCCTGGTGGAAGATTACTTCCCCTCGCACGCACTGGAAGACAACGCGTCGCTGTGGCCGCTCGAGATCCTGGAGGAGGAGCACGATAAAGTCGGTCGGCTGCTAGCTGCGAGGGCTCGCAGTGCCGCGGGACCTCTGTTTGAGCTCGTTGAGCTTGAGAAGCGGATGATTGAGTACCACCGCCGTGTGGTCGATCTGCTTACATCAAGACTTAGCCGCCACGATCGATTGGCGCCGTCATCGATCATGGCTGCTGGTCTTTTGCCTCAGCCGCGGAATCGTTGAAAAGTACAGACGGAAGGGAACAGCCTATGTGGATTGAAAAGCATGCATTGGTGTTGCATATGACTTATGAGCTTACGGGACTTACATGCCTATTGTAATGTAATTCTGGGTGTATGGGCGACAAGTGAGACAAGATGAGCATTGGCAGTCCAGGCCAAGTGAGATCTTGATTTTGAGATACCAAAATACAAAAAAGAACCAGATAATACATGTGCCTGCTTTAAAACTGTCGTAGTGAGCGGCATGAACATCCGCTGACTTCACATCCCGACATCCTATTGCTATCGCCATTATTTTCACTTGTGATACTCTCTCTTAGCCAATTCTCTCGAAAAAAAGCTTTTTGGACTAAATGCACCCCGGAGAGCCTAGGAAGGTAGAAGTAAGGCTGGTATCGATGAGGAACTGCTTAAATGTGTATCACGACTACTCGAATACCAAGAAACCGTTTGCTAGTGACAGCACGGACCGGGATACAGACAGTCCCTTTGATTACTTGGATGCAAAATGAGTCGGGCAGGATATTGTAGACTAGAATTTTCCTATCGTACGTTGAATGATGTCTGTGGACCTCCTCTAGGAGGTTGTCGCAAAAATTTGGCGGTGTGGAGCCAAGAGGTACTTAGGATCGCTTGGACTCTCGGAATCCCAACACCGAGCGGAGCAATAGCTCCGATCCTCCCCTTGGTGTAGTTGGTTCATCACGTTCGACTGTAATGGTTACATTGTCATCGAAAGGTCTCTAGTTCGATTCTGGAAGGGGAGAACTGCTTAATCTTTTGCGTTTTTGAGATTGTTTTCCTTTTTGGAATCGGATTCCAAGTGCTCTTGGCGCTGGCGATTTTGTCGTTTGTCTGTTGGGAGTCAAAGGAAGCACGGGGGCCAGAATGCTGTGGAGACCTCTCCAGGTTGTGGAAGCCGGGCGTTTGCTTTTTGCACTGCTGAGGATTTTTGATAGTAAGCCGGGTCAGTTGATGGCAGTTTGATCAAAACGGATAACTAAAGGAAGAAGAATCTTTTTATTGCCCTACGTCTTTTCTCGCCGGATGAGATCATTCTGTCGGATAGAAGGTATGTGAGTCTTCTTCCTCACAAAGTGTTTGCACCAGATGTCTTTCGTCCAAGAGACACATTTGAGAGACTTACACGTGCCTCGCCAAACTCGCTCACCTCTACTGCAGCCTCCCGCATACCGGCATCACCGTCGAGATTTGATGTTGATCAAGAGCTTAGGCAGCAGCAGTAGGAAGCTCAAGCTTCGTACATCACCCCTTCCGTCCAGCCGGCATCCAGTAGCCAAGCCCATCCAACTCCAAGCTCCAAAGACCGCCCACAAACGACATGACATGGCATCGTCAGTCCAAGATTCCGAAATACCCTATTAACTTCTCAACCCACCGGATCTCTCGGCGCCTCCATCGCCCTACTCCGCCCGGCTTGCGGGGTGGGAACACACATCGGCGAACACATACGGAGACATTGCACAAAGTAGGCTCCTCCGGTATCCGCGTCGCACGCGTTCGCAGCTCTCTTCCCGTGCCAACTTGATTAACCCCAAAATCATCTCACCGAAGGGTAAGATGTTGGATGACCCCTCTCCCCTCGGCGAGCTGAATCGGGCAGGCCGGCCGCCATGTCCTCCCCCTTCCCCTCTCCTTATTTTGGTACTTCCGTCACAGGAACAGAGACGTAGAAAGTAAGAATACATTTCTATGAGCGCTGACCGAGTGAGCAAGGCGGCCAGAGCGGGAAGACCTACTGCGCCGGGATACCCGGATCAGAAAACCCCCCCCCCCAAAAAAAGTCGCCGACTGCAAAGGCATCACTTACACCGATGACTGGTTTCCACTAGGAAACCAGATCATCCAGCTCTCCCCGGCCCGTCGTCTCGGCGTCCCAGATCGAGTGTAGTGGACATCTGACGTCCCTTTCGCACCCGAAAAGAGTCTTCCAGCAAACCCTCGAAACCTCTCCAGAGAATCAGCACGGCCTGTATCCTCGCCGCCTTTGAGAGCGATGCGGGTAGAACGGGCCCACGGGTCCAGGCAGTCGAGCAAAACGTGACGAAACCGCCCCCTTCCGGCCCCACCATCATCGCCATCCACGACACGAGTGACTGCCTGCCTACGAGGACGAACCCAAACGAGCCATTCATCGTGACCAAACCCTCAGAATCCAGGCTCCTCAAGCTCCCGGGCTCCATCGTAAGTCCGTGACACCAAGACCCACGCCTCCGTTGCCATCCAAAACGAGAAAGACACTCGTCATCCCGATCCAAGGAAGCCAAAGGCTCTCAAGAACCCTCGTGCAAGGCCTCCTCACCAGGCACATAAACCCGCTTCCGATCGTGAAATCCATAAGCGCCTCCCAGTATAGGCGTTCCACCACTCGGTGACATTCCTCTCCCCTTGCTCCGTGAACACATCCCCCTCTTACGCAGATGACACTAGTCACCAGCATTCCCTCACGCCGGAGCCCAAAGTGTGAAAGGTAAAAAATGGTGAGTGACTCTCACTATTCATCCATCTTTGTAAGCAGCCGTGATATAACAAAATTCAACATCATGCTGAATCATCCATTCCCTTCCCTCCCGAAACCTCCGGAACGGGCGCCTAGCACCGTTTCACGCATGGCCTCTCCCAGACTAGAGACTGGCTAGTCCGCAGGTAGAAGAATCAAGAAGCACCAATATGCGAGAGTTAGCCACTCATTAGCGTCTTGTTGAAAAAAAGAACAAAAACCAGACTTCACATGACAAACCTGTATCAAAAGACTTACCTTCCCCAGCCGCCCCCTGCCCGATGCGTGACCAGGGTAGTGCAGAAGAAAAAAAAATCTCTTGCTCAAAAGTCCATACTGGACTTTCCTCAAGCGGCAAGCGGGAAACCCACCACCGAACATCGGTTGGATGGTGGTCACCGCCAATGGTGGTGACACTGGTGAGGTGGTGTCGTTGGAGGCCGGGACCACGGGCGGCGGCGGTGCGGTATGACTCACACTCTCTCACACTCGCTCACTTTCGACAAACCCCAGCCGGCTGCGCGCTGCGTTATCGCCGACGAACCATCGGGCGTTAAGGTATTCGTAGTGGTAGCAGCAGCAGCGACCGCCGCGCTGCCACCTAATGACATCTAGTCATTTCTTCATGGGTCAAACGCTTGTCAAAGAAGTTAACCGGTTTTTTGTGTCTGTAGCATCAGGCTTCAACGTCTCGGGCTCCGTCTCGGACGGTTGATTGAGGTCAGATTGAGGTCCGCAGCTTGGTCATGGTCAGCACGGCGGTAGCAGCTCCGTATCAAAAGGCCTGGCTCGAGTACTGACAGTTAAACGTAAAAGGCACCTAATGTCACCGTATTAGCAGTCATCGGAAGTTCTCCGTTCAACGAATAAGCACACGCAAGTACACCAGAGGTACTTGCTTTCACAAAGCACGTTGTCAACAAGGCTGTTTCCAGCACAAAGGTACACAGAAGAGAACTCGGTTCCAAATCTGGTGAGATTTTGATTTGATAGGCCAGACAAAGCAACAACTTGTGTCTCGTGGTCGAAAAGCTAGCTATGAATCTCTCGAGTATAGCTTCATCGCTTTCATGTGAAGTTGTAGTAACACGTGCCGTGTCGTTTCCATGCGCTTTTGCGTGATGAAAACATATCCGATGAATCGCGGCGGATAACAAGTGCCGCTCTCAGCGAGTGAGGTAGTGTGTTTCTTGATGGCTCGTTTTGGTCGCCCCTTTCGGATCTCCCATCGAGCGCCCAATCACACTCTCCCAAACTCTGATCGCGGGCGATTCGATGCGGAAGACCCTGTCGTCTCCAATCCCAGAGTGCAAATAAGTCTGAGAACCAGCGAGAGCTCGATTCCCAAACCGCTAAAAAACGCAAAAAAATTCAAAACGCATATCGACTCTCTTCTTCAGCGTGATCGTACAAACACAAAACGCGACGAAAATGCCGCAAGAGCTTCTTCGCCATCCACCGCCCCATATGCCTTGACCTGTTGATGCATGCAAAGATTATCACGCTTTTCGTGCCGTTCCTTGACGCCATCTAAGCTGTTCTAAGGACTCGATGAACCGCCAAGGTGGTATCATTAGCACTTTCCGTACCCCGCCGCCCCGTATTGATTTCGTTTTTGACAAAGGAAATAGAGGATATTGCACAAAAAAAGGTCAAGGTGTGTTCAACTGTTGACCATTGGGTATCTCGGGAGGCGTGCACTATGTGCTCAGTTGAGAATTCCCTCCCACATGCCCGGTCCGCGGTATCCGTCGATTGAGTGAAGCATTGATGCCTCGTAAGCCGGAGCAGCCTCGCTGGCGCAGCAGACGCGCTTGCGAGGGGTGCCACGGTCATTTGTGCCCACCTGGCTGTTGCGGGGGCGAACCAGGTTCTGGGTCCATTGCTTGCCCGAGTAGTTACCGGTGAGCATGTCCCGAACATTCTCCTGAAGGCAGTTGTCGACGATTGAGACACCTCGAGCGCGCTTACGCGAAGACATGGCAGTAGGAGTAGAGTCGTCGGAACGGTAGTTCTGAAGCTCCTGAAGTGCCCGTGCGGCGTCATTCGCGGGATCATGCGTCATTTCATCCAATTCGCGTTCTCTCTGAGCCAAAGGGGTATCCAACGACATTTCGCAGAGTCTGCCAACCGGGCCGGTGTAAGACTCAGGCGAAGAGGTGATGCAATTCTCTTCGTAGTCCTCAGGAACCGAGGCGATAGTCGGTCTCAGGCTTGACCTCTCACTGCACAGCTTCGCAGACCGGAATCGCGCCTGGACACCCAGAGGGGCCGGCGCGTTGACCAGTGAGGAAGCAGATGAGATGGAGGAGGAGCGAGAGGTGCGCGACGTATCAGAAACCATCGATTCGGGAGAAGACGCGGTCGAGATTGAAGTGGCGAGAGAAGAACGACGAACGGGGAAGTAACCCTGAGGGGATGAGGTGTTGGCAACAGGCCAGCGATCGAGGCACTGGGTTGCGCTGACGCATGAGGCCTGGGCCATGGCGAGGCCCATCGCGCTGCCTTTGCTGAGGTGGGATGCAGCACCCACGGCAGGAGTGCTGTATCCGCTCGACTGGGGCGTCAGACGCGGGGTGGGAAGCAACCCGAGAGCGGGAGCCAGCCGGCCCGGAGTATATACAGTGGCCGGGGAAGGCTCCATAATATTCGGGGTTTGGTAGGATCTCGGGGTAGGGGTAAGCTCGGCTGAGTCGTACCCCAATCCACAAGCGCCGGTCGCAGCCAAAACATCTTGCGCCGCCGGCAGCATGGTGCGGTGACGAGACAAGGTGCGGGAGCTGGGAGCGACGTGCGCCGTGGGAATCAAGCCTTCGATGTTATCCAGCTCGGGATTGAGTTTGAGGATAACCATCTTCCAGTTTGAGCTCTGTTGCGCGTACCATTGGGCGGAGGTTCCGGGAGCGGGAGGAGACGGAGGGGTGTACTTCAAGACGATTTCTGTCCAGCGCTGGAAGACTTCGTCGGTGATGTGCAGCTTCCAGTCCACCGCTAGCAAGAATGCAATCTCGTTCTGGTTGATTTCCCCCGTGTTGAGCCCGGAAATTTTACTCCAGGCTCTGGCAGAGTAGTTACGATCTTGGAGGTACTTGGAGGCGAGGATGAGAGCGGCGAGGAACATGCGGCGGCCGCACTGAAGTGCGCGGCACTCCTGCTTGTCGTCGGGCTGTTCCATGGTGAAATCGTGCTTCGGGACGTGGGGCTTAATCAGAATCAGGTAGTACAGCGCAACCTGAAGGGTGGAGTAGCTGGTGCGGGAGCGGCGCAGGGTCTCCTGGATGAAGGTGCGCAGCGGCAGCACCGCTTTGTTGCCGAGTTCATTGCGACAGACAACTGAGGAAAGGGGCCAGATGGCCTCGACAATCTGTGTTGAAGAATCTAGAGTAACGATTGGATTAGGAGACTGGACGACTGCACACATGTTCAATAATGCTTACCAACAAGGTTGTCGACAAAGTTGACCTTGCGCTCAGCCTGGCGAACCAGGGTCGGGGGTGCTCCAGAGCGGGTGGCGCTCCCACTGGTTCGTCTGGGGTTCTGTCGCAGTTCCTGGGGAATGGCACCAGCGGCTTGCTGAGTAGGTTGTCTAGGCCAAGGGCTTGTGAATCTAACAGCAGTGTCGCATGCGGCCGAGGGTCGCGACAAGCAATATACGTCGGCGGAATCGGAGTCGGAGGTGTTGGTGGGGGATGTCGAGGTAGATGATTGAGAGGATACAGCAGACCAAACCGAGCCGGACGATGTGGAGGTCAGGGATTCGAGGGATGAGCTGTAGGTGTTGTTTTGGTAGGTGCTGATGAAAGCCGACGAATCATCGGTGGCGTACTTCATCTTGGATATAAGTGGTGGAGGGTATTTGGCGTTTGGGGGTTTTCGATATGGGAGTGATTCCTCCAGTCGCCGTCAAGCTAAGTCAACCGGGTAAACCGTGAAAGGGTTCGTATGAGCAGATCGTGATACCGTATCAGAAACGCGCAACTTCACAACAGCTACTAGTTACTGTTGTAAAGTCTTTGAGAGTCGTAGATAGGGGTGGCGGCTTCTAGACGCAAATGTCCGCAGCCGACGTTACACGAAGGATCAAACCGGAAGACGAAACAAGACGGGCGACTGGAGTAGATTTTGTAATTCGAAGAGGCATCGTATGTTTAATGCATCTAATAGGAGGGGCTAAAAGGTCCTGATTATATGGTGAGCTACTGCAGAGCCACCATTGATGCGATGCGACAAAGTGTATAATATTAGATGTATAATAGGTGAGTGGTGATAGGGTGGCTAGGGGTTGAGAGGAGAGTTGGTGATATTGATTAAAGGAAGGCGAAGTCGGAGTCGGAAGGGTAGAGTGAGGGGAGAGGTGAGGGGAGGCAAGGCGCTGGGCCAAGTGTGGCTGCGAGGAGAGGTTATATCCAAGCAGGTGGGATGAGGTGTGACTCTTTTTCGCCTTGCGCCGCCCGTGGTATCTCGAACGAACGTGTTCAGAGGGGCGACTTGGCCTGGCGTGACGAAGTCGGAGGACCCCTTGGGTGGCTCAAGTCTGGCTCGAGGGCCCCAGATTGGGTGTGGATGACTCTTTCGGGTTTGGGGTGGCGAAGGGGGGTGAACCTGGTTGGGTTGCCGCCCAGGCAGGTGGCTCCAAGTGACTGGCAGGTGTGAAGATGGATGGGGGGGGGGATACCGCACAGGGGAGAAGGGGAAAGTGCGAGTGCGTGAGTGCGTGCGCGGGAAGGAAAGAGAGTGAGTGAGAGGTGCAAAAGGTGGCAGTGGCAGTGGCAGCCTAGGGAAGGCCGAGGAGGAGACCCCGGGGGTGGACAGGGGGTGGGTAAGAGTGGTCCGGTTGAGTGCGTGATCGCTCTCGAGAACCAGGAGAGGCAAAGGGGAGAAGAGTGACAGGCAGGCCGGATAGGTAGCGTTGTGTCTCTGTTGCTCTCTCTGACTCTCACTCTCTCACTCACTGCTTCTCATCCACTTTTTGCGGCGTTTGACGTGTTCGTGCTAGCTGGTGCTGGACTGGGAGGAAAATGCTGTGCAGAAAATCGAACTGGGTTTGGTACTAACCTTGCAGGCAGTGCTTCGAGTCCCTCGGATGGAGATGTCTCTTGGCAACTACAGAGGAGTGTGGCGAAGGAGATGCTGGGTCAGCTGATGAGACGCCAGGTTGAAAGATGAGTCGTAATCGTCGTGTGAGCTATTGTCGTGGATATTGCCGGGGCAAGTTGATTAAAAAGGAATGAGTATAATGTGTAAGAGCCGAATGAGATAGTCGCAGGGTATCGGAGAGATATTTTTTTGGTTGAAAGGCAGGAAAATGAGTAACTGTGAGAGAGACAAGGAGCTTGCGTGAAAACGCTGGTAGGCAGGTAGGCAGCAGAGGGTCCGTTGGGTGGTGATGAGAAGGGCGTATGACTCTATTGAAGCCTTAATCCGATCTCAAAATATCCCAGCGTAAGAGGGATTGAAAGCCTGCGTGCCTGGGCTGGGTGGTGATGGTTGTTGCTGGTGGTGGAGCTTGTGCTGAAAATGGAAAGTATCCGTAGGTTGATGCCTTTGTTAGCCGCAAGGAACAAGTGAATGCCGCTGCGGTTGAAAACAAGGGAGCCTAGGAATGGCGAGGGTTGGGCGGTTGTCGTGTGGTGTTGAGGATGATGATGTGTTGCGGTGATGCTCGATGAGTAACGTGACCGAGGGTGGCCGAGATGACTCTTGGAGGCGAGGATGAGGGATCCGGTAGATTAGGACACGGTGAGTGACTGATCTGCTGGCGAGGACGGGAGTGAGAGGAGAGTGAGAGGCGTAGTAGACGTGTTGCTACACGACCCAGAAAGCAAGTTTACAAAGGAATAAGCGGAGAGTTGGTCTAGAGTCTCTTCCCAGGGATTCCCGAGATGAGGCACGTCTAGCAGACTTCGGAGAGTCGCTGTCGTACAAATTTAGACCTTGGAATCGAACATGGCGATGGCGATTGTTCGATGGATCAAAAGGAAAAGGAAGGGGGGGAGGACATAGGTGCACGGCGATGTGGGCGCGGCGATAGTTTTGAATGCCTGGGGGAGCACTCACACACCCAGCCAGACTCCACGGGCAGGTCTCTCCTACTCTCTCTTTCCCTCTGACCCTGCTGTCGTCGCGACGGTACGGATACAGGCAAGAGCAAGCCCGGTAGGAAAAAGGTACATCGGACGGGACGGGGAAAGGTACATGGCGACAAGTACCAGACACTGGATTCTGGTATGGGAAACTGGTGTGGGCCACTGGGAACTGGAACCTGGGAATTTGTGCACACGTTGATTCGAAGGCTGGAAGGCGTGGAAGGGCGGTACCTACGGGTGGGTGGGAAAGAGAAGATGGGGACTTGCTGCCACTTGCAATTGCCTTGCACCGACCTCTTGCTGGCCACTACCACCTCACCTCACCTCACACCTCACTCGGTTTCCCTGGGAAAGGAAAAGAGAGGGGAGAGGGGAGACCTGAGAGAGAGGATGCAGCCGGGGCCCGGAACACCCAGCGAGTCTCAGCATTCGGCCACTGTCTTTTCTTCGTCTGTCTTTTCATTGGCTTATACCGTGATACAGAGTGGGTCGCATCGTCCTCCTTCCCGGGGTGGAGGGCATCTTGAAAACCAAAAAAAAAAAAAAATAGCCACCGTCTCCACTCTTTTTTTCATTGCTCTCAGACTCACTCTCTCATCCACCTCTCTTTCTCATTTGGAAGCGAGTGTGTCTTTCCCTCGCTGCTCCTCACTCATCTTTGCTGCTGTTACTCATACTCATCCAGCTACTCATACACACCTCTCACGCAGCACATACATACCGAATGCCCCCAAAATGCCCTTGCCTCCTCTTACTCACACTCTCTCACATATTGATAGCTGCATACCCAAACTCCACTTTACCCACCTCTCATGTGTCTATTCCAGTGTTGCTATCCCGGGTATCCTCTCAGGTTGTTGTCTGCTTTCTGCTTGTTCTCTGGCCAAGGCTCTAAACTGCTCAATCATCAACTGCGTTCCTACCTGCTTCAGTGCTTGTCCTCCCATCCCCATGACCGTTCAGGTATCTCTGCTTCTGTTCCCACCCGGCCCAAAAGCTCGAGATGATGCCCGAACTTTCCATCGCCACCAACCAAACCAAACGGCACTGTGACCTTGTGGTAGATTGTGTACCGTACTGCAAAGTAAGGTATCCATTTCCATTTCTTTCCATGCAGCATTCATCCCACCCCTTGATGCCTAGCAACCTTGGGGTCTGTCTGTCTGGCTTTCTGCTCCGGTGCCTGAGCTTTTGGAGCTTGGAGCTCTTCTCAAGTTCGCTATCCCCTCACGGCCTGCGTCAAATCTTCTGCACGACTATTTTGGCTCTGGCATCTTCCGTCGCCAAGTGGCTGCTCACGTCGTAACCTTCTTCTTGATTGGCCAAAGTCGTTCCACGCCATATCGTTTGAGGTTAGCCCCGCCAAGCCTAAAATGGCTTCTCAACCACTCGTGTGCGGCAGCAACACACCCTCTGCAGTGGCCCAGCCTTTGTGGTTTCTGGCAAGCTGCACCGCTGAATGGCTGCTGCTGCCCAGCCCCAAGCCGGCCAGGCAGGAGCAGACTGAGGTGCAGTTGCAACTTGCAAGAGAGAAGAGAAGGAGCCCCCGGGGGTGAGGCAGCGTGGCAGGCACGGATGCTAGCGCAGGGAAGGAGGGGGGGAAGAGTCATCGTTGACCATCAAGCCCCCCCTCCGCTACGCCATCGCAATCGATCCTCATCCTGTGCCGTGGACTTCGAAATTTGCAGACGTTGACGCCCTCCTTCAACGACCTATCCATGCCTTTCTCTTCCGCCCATCCACACCTACTCAAGCTATAGCGCCACCTGTATTTGGTTATTGCAATTACAGCCAGTCGACAAACCCAGATTCGCAGATGAAAGAGACACAGACCTTCGATAACCCTTGCAACCTGGGGATGAAGCACGCCGTGTCTTTCATGTAAGCATGAACACGCCACGGCTTGTGCTTATGAGGGTATCACGAGCCTGGTCTTGACGAAATATTGGCCTTGAACACTTTCGACCTATTAATCCGGCGAGCTGCAAGCGATCCCACACGACCCTCAGCGCACGCGACAATCTTCAAAGAATCGACTGACAACAGCTGTTGTCTCGCCCAAAGTCTCGCCACCAGATAACCAAGCTTTGATCCAGAAGAATATCTCGAGGGGAGAGGGATTGCGTGCCATCATCCTGTCTCATCATGCCACCACACACCCTTTGAGAGCTCGGGGAATCGGGGCAAGCAAGCCAGCCAACCGCAATGCTCCTGATTACCTTAGCCACAGCCAGAAATCGCCTGCGAGAGATGCCGACACGCGTACGCACCACACAAAAGCGTCAGCTCCAATCAGCGCTGTTGGCGAATCTCGATGGGCTACCGAGTTGAGTTTACATGGCCATACAGACATTGACCTGACCACTGATGGGGCATACGGAGAACTCAGTGTATGTAAGAATACTGCGGCTCGGCTTACAAAGTCAAAGCAACATTTAAAGGGCGTTAGGGCCTGCCATCGCGAACACTCTTCCACCGAAACGCCGTAGAGCGCGTCCAACGATGATATCACCCCAATTTCGCTATCGGACTACTGCTCGAGAGCCGACGGAACTTCCTGCCGAGGTCAACAACCTGAGCTCCATCAGGTATCCATACAGGAACGATGGGCCTTTGTACGGGTCGTTCTGGGGCCCTCTGAATCCTCCCTAGACAGTGATCTCATACACACCCAGAGCCCAAACCCCAGTGGCTCAGTGGTCTTAACAAGCCTGGAGCATGACAAACTGTCGCTGAGAAAGGGTTCATCCTCCAGCTTGGGTACGGATACCGCGCTGCACCATGACCACCTACTTGTCCGGCGACGGCGGGCTTCCGTGAGACTCAGTGATTCCTCAAGCCCCGAAATACCGAAGTGCACCCCCTCAAATTCCGCCACGAACTCCGCTTCAGGTTCAGACCTTTGTTCCTGGATTGCAAAGGTCAAAAGAGACGCTCGACGGGACGCTTACGGACCACGGCATGCCAGTTGCGCGTCTCCGGCGCTTCCTTGATCTCAGGGGCGATTTCTCAGCCGCTCTACCTAGTATACATCTTTGTCAGCCGTCTAATAAGCTATAGTGATACGGGTGCACCAACTTGGTCTTGGACTCTCGCAAAACACGGACGTCTCGGGGACAATGGAACAGATCGCATCCGGTGGATTCAGCCACACTGTCACCAGTGTCCATCTCATTTTACGTATCCTCTACCTATCTTGGATCCACAGACCAAGCCTCACTCTTCGATAATCCTCCATCTCGATATGGCCATCTTGTCCCTCCTCCCATGACCCGACGATTCCGTCGGCGCGTCTTGTCTATTAACTGCTCACGTGTTTGCACGTTGCATACTTTCTAGAAAGATGCAGTCGTCTGGCAAATAAGCACAAGGCCATTCACGCTTCAAAGCAATCCTTAAACACAGGGAATACTATTAGATGTTTGCGACGCATGGCTCTTGCCTGGTCTTCAAACATATTACACCTGCTTGACCTTCAAATAGACGCCTCGAAACATCCCAGGCGAGAACCCTGATACACTTTTGCGAGGTCAATCATGTTGGAACGACCTGACGCAGTACTTTCAAGCTAAACCCCCACACGCTGCATATCTACATTTCGAAGAGGTGCACAATGTGCACAAGTCACCCAAGCAGAGCATGGATGCTCTATACTTTGCCGGAAGTACCTAGCGCCAGATAAGAGGGGAGCATCAGAGCAAAGTGTCAGTATCAAGAGGGCAAGGAGCACAGGGAACACAGGACAGGGAGCACTCCGTTTGCCACGAAGTATACGCAAAACGCTGATGAAGAGGCAAGCAGCCAATCAGTGCCAAAGGTCCTGGGCGGCTGCTGGCTCTCACTCGTCTGGTGGTCTTGGTTTCTTCAGTTTAATACATGGGCTACATGTACCGACTCGTCTCGCCCGCCGGACTGCACTCGTGTTTCTGTACTGAGCAGAACTGGAGACGGCTGGGCGCGCGGGAGACCGACCGCCAGTTTAGACCCCGGCGACCACGATATTTGTTCCGATTCGTACCGAACCTGCAAGCTTTGAGTTCATTGCCCAGTATTTCCTCATGTACCTTGTCACGCTTGTCAAGCAATACTCCGTATGTACACCAGGAATGGCCGGGGTTGATGATATGCTCCCTCAAATAGGTATCTCACAACTTCTCCCCACCAACAGGTATTCATAGCTATGAATCTTCTAGAAGTTGGGGGCCGGGAATGGCATCAAGTTTGCTGAAGGGGGGGGAGGGAGAAAGTGAAGATTCGAGTCTGCTTTGCCTCGAAATGCCGTCATCTGGCCACCGCCCCCTTGTGTAGTTCGCAGGCATCACTCGGTCTAGCTGCAAGCTGCAGGCTTTCCTGCAGCTTTACTGGTATTGCCATGTCACACACCTCCGTCGCAGCCAGCCCCGCTCCGCCCCGCGGCAGACCTTCATTGGAGCGTTGTCCTCAATCTGTCCAGCATTGCCGTCTTGGATGCAGGCCAACGAACTCAGATTGTCGTTCGGCGGCAGGGCAGCGTCGATGAAGGGGAGATAAAGGGGGGCGAAGAACACACAGCTGGCGCTCATTGGACAGACTCTCACCGTCGTCTGTCCGAAATCTCATTCGCCCGAGGAGCTTACTCCGAGAGCAGAACAATAGCGTGGAGATCGGTTCTTCAAGCCAGGACGGAATTCTACGATATCCGTACACATGATCGGATTCCATGCAACACTGGTTCGTTGTCTTGCGGAGGACAGTGGATGTCCTTCGTGCAGCCAAAGACCTGCGTTCGCTTTGCAAAGAGGTACATATGTTGTTTTCCGAGTTCGTGAGGGATCGCGAGTGGGCTCTTAACATCCTTAGCCTCCTGCGATACCTGATCTTCTTTAACCAATGAGCGCCGATACGTGGCCATTTAATTACCTCGATGAGTCAACTTTAGCTGGCCAGACACGCCGGATTCTCATGCTCTCAATACGTCTCAAGCCTCGACAGAAGAAAACTCAAAAGAAGCAGATGGGCTCTCCTATGTGGCACAGCTCACGAACCTGAGGATCTCGCTGCCATGTGGCGGCTTGAAGACTTGCGTCTCCACGGCGCCGTAGCATGAAAAGCGATGCTTCGTTTACGCATGTACTTTAATTCTCGGATTCGCTCGACCCGGCCCACGAGATAAGGACTTTTCGCAAAGGCCTATGCTATGACTGTATCACGTTCAC